CAAATTGTTTTTTAGTGTTATTTTGGAGTTCGGCCTATTGGGTAACACGACGTGCCCGACGTTATCATAACCATGATGCATATATTTGAAATGAATTCCGGTAGTCTTTTTGAAATAAATACACACAGGGCCTTTATTTGGCCTGTGGAGATATCAAAATAGTAATTCGTTACATTATAATGTATTATACATTTAAAATAAATTAGTTTTGTGGGAGGAATCAGGGGTTTTCGAAGTGAATTCTGGTGAATTCCAGTGATTATATGTGAATTCCAGTGATTGTAAATGAATTCCGGTGAATTCCGGTGATTAGTCGGGCCCTGAATTTTGCTATTCCTCCTAAAAGTGATGGCTAATTCCGCTAGGGGGCCAAATTCAAAATGGAGGCTTATTTTGGAGGGAAACCCATATAGTCCCCTAATAAAAGGTGTGCAGTATATTAAAATATAGGTTTTCAGTGTCAGTTACTTCAGATATAAACATAAAAACATATTCCGACCAAAAGGTATTCCAGGTTGAGGTCATAATCAAAATGACGGCCAATTTTGGCGACGTTATTAATGTTTTAAACTATAAGTTTTCTGATTCGCCGAATTCATAGAGCGAATTGTCAAGCATACATTATGATTCACTATGACACCCTCTCTACCAAAAAAACAGAGGGGAAGAAGGGATGGAAAATGTTTGCCAACCTCAGCTTTACGGGCGCGTATGAGTGACCTAATAACTGTCAAGACAAGGTTCACCCCCGTTGCATGATAATGATGAAAGCGGAAGAATCAGACTGTTAGACTGATTCAAGTATTCCAGTGATTCAAGCGAGCGTAAGTTAGACTTTTACATGAGGTTCGACAACCCCAGTTAGCTTTCGACACACGATGGCCCGATGGTTGATTCTGTGTGACCGTGTATAATTTGTGTCCTTATTAGAATACAAGGGACAGAATATCATCAGATTGGAATACATTTTGGTCGGAACATGTTTTTTATGTTTATATTTGAAGTAATTGGCAACGAAAACCTATATTTCAATATATTACATGCCGTTTTAGGGAACATTATGAGTTTCCTTCAAAAATGAGCCCCCATTGTGAATTTGGCTTCCTACTGGAATTAGCAGTCACTTTTAGGAGGAACACCCAAGCTCGTCGGATTCAATGGGTCAAATTCTTATAGAAACTATTTTCATACCAAGGTTCGAGAGAATCTCTCCCGAATTTTACCCCACTAAATTAAAGTAAATAACCAGAAAATGTCTCATGACGGCCATCTTGAATATTAAAATTTCCCCAGTGTGGCATCATCCTTCAGCTTCTGTAGCCTTGTTGCGGGGCATGACATTTTGGGCTTTTTGTCATTGGTACCCCACGAACAAACTGTCTTGTAGTGGTCATTCTTGATTCCTGTGGTGGCGCTGAACAACCTCCAGTTTTAGGTGGTACCGACTTCAGCTAATCGAGCCTAGTTGCGGGGCGTGGCATTTTGGTTGGTCGTCATGGGTACCCCACCGCACAATCTGTCTGGCAGTGGTAATCCATGATTCCTGAGGTTTTGCCGAACAACATCCAATTAATTGTAGATCGTACAGACTTCAACTAATCTAGCCTAGTTGGGGGAGAAGGGTCGTGGTATTTTGGGCTTGTCTCAGGGGTAATCCATCACACAAACTGTCTGGCTGTGGTCATTCTTGATTGATGTGATGGTGCTGAACAACTTCCAAGCAGTTTTAGGTAGTACGGGCTTCAGCTAGACTAGCCTAGTTGGGGGCGTGGCATTTTTGGCGTGTCTGTTAGTGTTAGGGGTAACCCACCGCACGAACTGCCTGGCAGTGATCATTCATGATTCCTCTGGTGCTGAACAACTTCCAAGCAGTTTTAGGTGGTACAGGCTTCGGCTAATCTAGCCTAGGTGGGGAGGGGTGGGGCTGGCATTTTGGGCATGTGCGTTATGGGTAGCCCACCGCAAACTGTCTGGCAGTGATCACTCATGATTCCTGTGGTGCTGAATGACTTCCAAGGAGTTTAAGGCGGTACGAATTTAAGCTAATCTAGCCTAGCTGGGAGGCGTGGCATATTGGGTGTGTCTGTTCTGTCAGGGGTAACCCACCGCATAAACTGTCTGGCAGTGATCATTCATGATTCTTGTAGTGGTGCTGAACAACTCTAAAGCAGTTTTAAGTGGTACAGACTTCAGCTAATCTAGCCTAGCTGTGGTCTGGCAATTACATAACTCTGTTGGGGGTACCCCACCACTAGAAATGTCAGTCAAAATGTTTTTGTAATACTTGAAGATGTAAGGTACACTGCTGTATCATTTTCATGTGGTACACTTTTGAGCTAATCTAGCCCAAGAATTCATGCCCAGTATCGCAGCCACACCCACCACCAGATACCCGGCAGACTTACATTTTGATGATACCAGATATGCATGCTTTGATACCATAATGTTATATGTGAAAATTGGTACACTTTTCAGCTAGACTAACCTCCTGGGCTCCCGGTCTATAGCGTATAAGTATTTGTGATTTCTCAGCATGCCGAAAAGTCGTGGAGTTTATATGTCAAATGGATACAAAAACCAGAACGCCTGTAACGTTTTTTGCCAAAAGCCGAATTTTGGTGGATATTTTTCCTGAAGTTGTACTCATATAGACCTTTCATAAAAAGCAAGAATCGTTTGTTTTAGATTTTTTTCCCAAGTTCACCTAAATCTGAAGTTCTCCTACCAGCCTACTGCCAAATAAGGTATTTTGGTAAAAAATCTTAACATTTTCGTGACAAAATCAGACTTTCACGCTCGCTGGATAGCTGAAGGTCATAAGTCACGCATAATTTTGCAGTGATTAGACCACGGTTAGTAAGATCTGTATTTAGGAGCAGATTGTATAGATTTGTGGGCTGCCATGGCTATGATAAACTTGATATATCTATTATCCACATTCTTATGTGAGAAGAACCACAAGATTGTCCTTGATTAGGAGACCGTCATGCTTTCCATATTAAAATCTCAAAAGGGGAAGATGGCATAGATCACAACAGGTTTCATGGCACTCCAGAAAATCCAGAATATTTCTGACTGCACATGCCATCCTCCGGCATATACCTATTTTCGACTTAGATTCTGACCCTTCCTATGTTCTTAGTTTTTGGACCCCATTTTTGAAATGATGTTTTGTGCCTATATATGTCATCTTCTCCTTCAGTAGATTTCAATATGTAATGTATATTGTCTCCTGTTTTTCAATAACTCTCCATTAAAACTTCCAAATGTTTCTATACACTAAGCGCGATCTAATTCCTAAAATATTTTTGACCAAATAACCCATTTGGCACGTTCAAGTAACCAACCATGGAAGAAAAAGTGATAATCAGTGGTCATTTAAAGATAGTCAACAGTGAAGAGACGCACCCGTCGAACAAAGCCATACTTAACATCTTTATATATGTGTAGATCCATTTAATTTGAAAGATATAATGGTTAAACAATTTTAGCATGTGTAGTCATGCTGATCATGTGTTTATGGATCATCTACAATCCCCCCCGTCCTTAAAACCCGTTACACAAGGTAGTGATCTTTTACCCGAGAGCTAAAATATTTTTCATTTCATTACTATATCATATTCATATAAGATTTATTCTGTGTAAATTTCATTGGACATTGGTGAAACTTGACCCTTGGTTAAGTCAAAAGTGGTCCAAGACATGCACTTTAGATTATAAGGTATATCATGGAGTTAAGTGGCATGGTTTCCATTACAAGCTTGTATGTAACATGGTCTAGTGTTGTCTATCAAATCACACTGTATCATATGTTAGTCCCAAAATTACCTAGTTTGTGTCGAGTGGACCTTAAACCTCATTTCTCTCTCAAGTTAAAATCATCCTTGATGACAACTGAATGGATTATATAAACTTTGTAAAGATAACCAAACATATGCATCACCATATGTTCGCCCAAAATGACCTAGTTTGTGTCAAGTGGACTTTAAACCCATTTTTTCTCCCTCTCAAGTCTAAATCATCCTTGTTAATGATTAAAGGGAATATATTAAATTTGTAAAGATGTCCATACATATTCTTCATCTGGGGTATTGATAAACGGGACACTTTATTCCAATTTTTGGTTTTAATTTATTTCTGCTTTTTTTTGTTATGCCTGTGCCAGTCATTTTTATTTTTTACTTTGTTAGTAGGGAGGTTGCTAGTTGTGGGTAACATTCAACTTTGGTCATAGTTGTTCCAAGAACAAACTATAGCCTCTCAAACTTTGGTTTTCATTAAATTCAATTTTCAGGGCGAGTTGAGTATCTGGCTAGTATCAAGTTATCATTGGCAGTAGAAACTTAAAAATCTGTGTGTAGGAGGAGCCTATTGTCTGAATGACAGATCATACAGAGAGAGAGAAATGGGGTTTAACTCCACTGGACACAAACTAGGTCATTTCGGGACTAACATATGGTTTTAATTTTATTTCAATAATTCGCTTGTGCGTAGGGGTCTTCAGCAGTGGGAGGAAATCAGAGGACCCGGAGAAAATCCACGAGGTTGGACAGGCGACCCAACTCCTTGTCATGTACAACCGGGGATTCGAAACCACGCCAGTTGACTCAATGACAGGCCTTATGATACTTAACCATTCGGCCATCCAACCCCCACGACAGATCATACAAATTTAGTTCCAAATATATTTTGAGTATTTTTCTATTAAATTTTTTTTTTTTTACAATTTGCCAGGTGGGTATCAACTGAATCAACCTAATATTTTGTGGGGATGTATCTGGGTCCAAATCCGTGACCCAAGGGTTATCACCCTTTGCATGGTGCTCTCGGGGACACACTCTTAATATATTCTGAAAATTTAGGCATACATTCCCTGTAAATAGTACAACAGGATGGCAAGGTGAAATGAAATAAAATAATTTTGTTGAATTGTTTATAAAAACCGAATATAGTGGTAAAAGTATAAATTGACATGACTAAACAAAATACAAGAGCAGCAATGGACAAAAAATAATCTTTATTGAATCTTTATACGTCGTTTTGTACAGAAAAAACCGCTTGGAAGGTGATGAAAAAATTGTTATATACTCAATTTTTTCTCTTTCCATGCAGAAAAACGGTCTTGCAATTAATTCCGCTTTGGCTTGCCATAGATTCGACATAGAATGAATAACCCATCCATTGGAAAGGTTTATACATTAGACAGAACAAATACACATAATAATATAACTGATTATTTTTTATTCATTTCATACACTATTCTATGCAAACAAGCCAACAATGAGGCTGATGTCCCCCGCCGAAATCCCAAAATAAAAATAAAAAGACGACACATATTAATTAACTGCACACTTTTCTTTTAAAAGTATCGAGGAATCAAACTGATCATCAACTATACACTAAGTTTCATCACTGTCTATCAGATAGAATCAAAGTTATCTTGTCCTAAAGCATCGACCAATGAAAATGCTTAGCTCTGCTTATTACATGTAGCTTTAGCAGGGAATGTTAATCATTAAATTTAGTCAAGACATTCACCTAATGAACATCTAACATCAAGTTACAACAATTAAATAAAAGCAGAGTTGTTATGTTCCAAAGCCTTGACCAATCAAATTGCTTATCTCTCCTTAGCCTAAGCAGAAAATTCTCCTCAACCAACTCAAGTCAAGGAAATAATACAATGAATCTATACTTCATCGCTCTCACCGAATTAGAAACAAAGTTAACATCTTCCAAAGTCTCAACCACTCAAATTGGTTATATCTGTTTAGCCTTAGTGGAAAATGCGCATGATCGAACTATTGTCAAGGCATTCACCCAATAGACACCTACACCAAGTTTGAACATTCTACCCCAATTAAAAGGAGAGTTATTGTGTTCCAAAGTCTGGACCAATCAGATAAAAGTTTCTACTTTGCCTAAGCAGAAAATGTTCAGTCAAGGTAATAATATATTGAATCTATACTCGGGAGTTTCATCACTCTCATCCAATTAGAACCAAAATTATCATGTTCCAAAGTCTCAACCACTCAAATTGCTTACAGCTCTGTTTACCCAGAGCCGATCTCACTTAATAACCAAAGTTATCGTGTCCCAAGGCATCAACCAATCAAACTGCTTATCTCTGCTTACCATAAGCAGACAATGCGTGTATTCGAACTCCATCAAGGCATTTACCTAATGAACGCCTACATCAAGTGTGAACATTCTAACTCGATGGAGCAGAAAATGCTCATCTTCGAACTCCATCAAGGCCGGACCTAAAAAAAAAACAACTACACCTAGTTTGAACATTCTAGCTCAATTAGAAGGAAAATTATTGTGTCCCAAAGAGTGTGACGGGCAGATAGGCAGACAGACCCATTTTAATAGTCCCCTGCTTTATTCAAAAGGCGGGGGACAATAAATCATTAAAACTTCTTCTAAACAGCTCAAAATGCCTAAAAATGTTCCTGGGTTACTTCCTTTATGGACAAAGCAAATAATATAATCATAAAAATTATGTCAGCAAAGTTTATATACAATATTTAATACACAAGAACTCCATTATAGTGTGTTTTGCATTAACTTTAATGCATATCTTAGTACATTACAGGGGTTGACTTTGCTTTCAACAGTATAAGAATGAATCGAAAATTTGGAGAAAGTCAACAGAGCCCAAAATCAGTGTTATTATGAAGCCCTGCACCAAACTACCTGTCTGTAATTACAATAAAACATTCTGTAGAAAAGTTTGTCTAATAATGCAGAGAATCTAAAAACTATTAACTCCTTGTTTTGCAATCCTTTTGCCTAGGAACTAGGTTAGTCAATTATTTTTTTTAAAACAAAAATTACTAATTCTATATACAATCATCAGGATTTATTAAATGAATATGGTGAACGTTTCAAAGATGATATATTAGGATCTTGTTGATTGTAGTTAACAGACCACAGTTTAGGTGACACTGATGTAGAGTTAAAACCACTATATGGTGGTGGTGTACCTGAAACAGAAGCTATTAGTTAGAATATTGAACCATCGGCTGCAGGCAGATATGCCCACATTTTGCAAGAGATGGATAGAGAACAAGCTAAACAAAAAGATTTTTTGCACCAAATGGCCACAAAACCAGACCCAACTTTTCTAGAGTAAAATTTTGCGTAGAATACGATGCCGAGTGGTAATCAGTCTGCCGGTGGGGTGTTTTCGAGATATTCGGGGTCAAAGGTCAAATGGGTTCATTTGCACTGAAAGTGAAAGCGCAGTCTTTCTTGTAAGATGGATATAAGCTGAAAATGATCGAAAGTAATCACACTTTCAATAAAAAAGTAAACTTGCTAAATTCACCTTTGTTCTTTGTCACCACAGAGGTCAAAAGGTCACATTTTCCGTTTTAGCACTAGGAAGATTTAAAGTAATAAATGTCAGCGTAAAATATAAAAACTAAGCCGAAACCTGTTCTAATTAATAATAGGATCATTTACTAACTTATCTTTAGGTGGTCTTCGCACCGAACTTCAACTTTGTAACGTCGAAAATGATCTTGCATAATAGAACCAAAACGCTTCGGAACCCGTTTCCAAAATACATAAAAACTGTTAAATCAAAATCTCTCCGAATTAGTTTTACAACGAATGCTATACATACTGATACTGAAAAAAACAATTGAATAGTTTCATGGCTGGACTTCAGCCTGCAGGCCGCTTCACAAAGCCTGCCAAAATTTCCCCGCTAACATTTACCAGTACGACATATATATTCTGTGAACTACTATGTACAATGCATCCGTCGGTTTTATCTGCGTCCATGTTCCGGTGAAATTCATAAAAACTCATAAAAAATTTGCAAACTTTTAATCTCGTCGTCAGATACGTGTTTTCCCGTCACTGATTAACATTGGTTTTCCTAGACTGGGATTCTCGGATATCCACGCGACCTGCAGGCTGGAGTCCAACACTGAAACTATTCAATTGTTTTTCAGATAACTAGTATCTTTATGTATAATAATCGCTGTGAAAATAAATCGGAGAGATTTCGATTTGACAGTTTTTACATATTTTTGAAACAGTTTTCAAAGTGTGTTGGTTCTGTTATGCAAGATCATTTTCGACGTTCCAAAGTAAAAGTTCGGTGCTAAGACCCTCTAAAGATAAATTTTAAATGTTCCTATTATTTGCGTACGAGAGACGGACATTTTGTCCAACAGTTTTGGTCCGATTTTCACGAAACTCAAACTAAGCCATCATAAGGGTGTAACACCTCTAGAGGGACCACATGCTAGAAACGTGATTTTTCATACAATCAAGGGCCATAATTCAGAAAGTTACAATCCGATATGCGCAAATATCGAAAGGAAACAAGATCTTTGGGTTATAAACATGCATTTCAAGTTTCAGCAAAATCACATGATTGACAATTATGACCTGTAGAGTGTCCACATGCTAAAAGATAGGTTGCCAGGCAACTAAACATAGGCTCACAGCAGCTAAATCATCCGAGCGGTCGACAAGAGTTGTCGTATATTTGTTCTTTTGTAGGTAATTAGGGGGCATTTAATAGACAATTTCATACAGATGACATTATAATTTTCGTCGTTTGAGGGTTCATAAGGTTCTAAAAACTAAAACAAGGGCTGTAACTCTGGAAGTTATCTACAGAAATTGTTGGAATTCGACAGACTTTTTCGTTTTACTAATTCATATCAATTTCATACAGATTGGATGATAACTTTTGTCGTTCGAACGTTCACAACTTTCAACAAAGTAAAACAAGGGCCATAACTCTAGAAGTAATTGACAGAAATTGCTGACATTCAACAGGCTTCTTCATTTCACTAATTTAAATGATGCAATGTGAAACAAGGGCCATAACTCTAGATGTAATTAACGGAAATTTGCTGAACCTCAATAGGCTTGTTCGTTTTACTAATTTAAACGATACCTATAAATACATACAGATCGGATAATAACTTTAGTCGTTAAAGCATTCACAAGGTACAACAAAGTGAAAAAAAGGCCATTACTCACGGTGTAATTAACGGAAATTGTTGAAATTCAATAGGCATCTTCGTTGCACTAATTTAAATGATGCATATCAATTTCAAACAGATCGGATGATAACTGTTGTCATTAGAGCGTTCAAAAGATTCAACAAAGTGAAACAAGGGCAATAACTCTAGATGTAATTAACGGAAATTGCTGAAATTCTATAAGCTTCTTTGTTTTACTAATCTAAATGATGCATATAAATTTCATACAGATCGGATAATAACTTTTGTCGTTAGAGCATAAACAAGGTACAACAAAGTGAAACAAGGGCCCTAACTCACGGTGTAATTAAAGGAAATTGCTGAAATTCAAGAGGATTCTTCGCTTCACTAATTTAAATGATGCATATCAATTTCAAACAGATCGGATGATAACTGTTGTCATTAGAGCGTTCACAAGATTCAACAAAGTGAAACAAGGGCCATCACTCTAGATGTAATTAACGGAAATTGCTGAAATTCAATAGGCTTCTTTGTTTTACAAATTTAAATGATGCATATAAATTTTATACAGATCGGTTGATAACTTTTGTCGTTAGAGCGTTCACAAGAAGCAACAAAGTGAAACAAGAGCCATAACTCTAGATGTAATTAACGGAAATTGCTGAAATTCAATAAGCTTCTTTATTTTACTAATCTAAATGATGCATATAAATTTCATACAGATCGGATAATAACTTCTGTCGTTAGAGCATTCACAAGGTACAACAAAGTGAAACAAGGGCCATAACTCACGGCGTAATAAACGGAAATTGCTCAAATTCAATAGGCTTCTTCGTTTCACTAATTTAAATGATGCATATCAATTTCAAACAGATCGGATGATAACTGTTTTCATTAGAGCGTTTACAAGATTCACCAAAGTGAAACAAGGGCCATAACTCTAGATGTAATTTACTGAAATTGCTGAAATTCAATAGGTTTCTTTGTTTTACTAATTTAAATGATGCATATAAATTTCATACAGATCGGTTGATAACTTTTGTCGTTAGAGCGTTCACAAGGTGCAACAAAGTGAAACAAGGGCCATAACTCCAGACGAAATTAACGGAAGTTATTGAATTTAAATAGGATTCTTCATCTCACTAATGCAAACAACATATATCAATTTCAAAACAATCAGATGATAAATATAGTCTGTAGAGTGTTCACAAGAAATTGTACACGACAGACGGAGCGACGGACGGACGGGGGCGACGGCAATATACGACCACATTTCCATGTGGGCGTATAAAAATGACTTTCCGTACAATCAGGGACAATAATCCATGAAGTTATGGTCTGATTTATGCCAATATCGAAAGGAACCGAGATCTTTGGGAGAGTGACCTGCAGGTGTCCACAAACAAATTGTGGATGAACGTACAGGGGCGTCGACAATATACGTCCACATGAAAATCTGGGCATATAAAAATCAGCCCACCAGCAGCTAAGCCAAAGATTGTGACTTAAGCGGGGCTTATGTCAACCTTAATACTGACGGCAAACCACATAACATTATTAAGATGTTTAAACTAACATGAAGTTAAATTTACGTTAAAATGGTCTGTCAGTTTACCATCATTTTTCTCATCTTTTTAACCATAATTTTACGTCAGGAAATGACATTAACCTAATGGACACTTTACGTATAAAATCTATAGTCTCTACCACGTCCACAAGGTATTCGGAAAAGGGATATGACTAGGTCTCATCCTCTCATTGTTCCAGTACTTCATATCGAATTAGAAATAAATCTGTTGAAAACTGTAGCCTCTAGTATTAAATTCAAAAGGTTTTCAGAATAGAGAGGTAACTTTGAAACGGAATCTCACCCATCGCTGAATATAGATACAGTTAGTCCTCTCATGACCTGAACCTTAATCTTAATTCTAACATTAAACAAGAAGTTGCCTTGCAAAATAAACCCATAGTTTGCAAGTATCATTTGAAATGGACAAAAGTTGTAACCTCTCGTAGTTCCACAAACTTTGAACGTATTTCACATTTTGTGTAAAAGGCAGGGGGAATAACTCTAGAATATAAGGTCTGATGAACACCACACTCAAACTCACCCCACGAAAGGTCGCTAATCAATGATAATCGATAAGGTTCGTCTCTCATGACCCCAATGCAACAAACCATATTTGAAAAAAATAAATTTGTTAACAAATACAGTAAACCTCGCATAAGTCGGATTCGTATAAGTTGGATCTTCGCCCAACTCGGATAAAATCGTTTGGACCCTTTGATCCTGCACGTTTTTCTTATTAAATTTCTGCGTGTAACTCGGATTTCCTATGTCGGATCTTCGCTCAACTCGGATCCAAATGTTCGGTCCATTTGATCTAATTCGGGCTTTTTTCCTTCGCCTAAGTCGGATCGGCAGTATGTTCAGAATTTGACTAAGTCAGTTTCGTACCGATGGCCCAAAACGCGGATAGGTATTCCATGCACAGAGCCCCAAAATACTTCCCCTGTCATTTTGCCTTAAATTATATTTGACTGATGCAATAATAGAATTTTCCCTGAATGTGCCGTACCAGTCAGGAGGATCTTCTATTCGCCCCCCCCCCCTCGGAATATTTTGCTGTCTTTTTAAATGACACATGTTTTTTTCTATTTGTACCGTCTTCTGCGGGTCCTGTTGTTGTTTTTCATCAATATGATTATCACTATATATGTTAAAATATTATGTACGGGAATTGTTGTACTAGTGAATTGTAATCTATTGCCGGACATTGGATTTATAATTAGCAGTTAAAGCTGTTGGGGTATGTCAGAACACGGGAATGTCTTACTCAGATCAATAGTATATAATCAGCTATTCTGTTTTCACGCATCATTTTATAATTTACTTATCAACAAACAATCACAAGAAAAAAACCTTGGAACAGAGTACAGACATTAACATTATAGAATTTATACGGCATCCGATTAATCGGCACTACTTTGAATCAGTTATTATCCGGCTCTTGCAGTTTACTTCTAATTGAGCTAAGATTGAATTTCAGTCTTCGTCTAACTCGGATCTTCGCTTAACTCGGATAAAATTGGTCAGTCCACTTAGATCCGACTTATGCGAAGTTTACTGTATATGTTAAGTTTCATCTGGATTGGACAAAAATGTGCACCTAAATCAAACCTATGTAAGATCTTTTCATTCTTAACACCAGGTATAGGTATTATATGCTTTTCCACTATTTGCGTAATGGGGAGTGTCCGATTTTCATGAAATTCGAACACAACTATTTGAAGAGTTTTCAAAATAAAAAACAAACGGTTGCCATGGAAGATACACCCACATTTTGCATGAGATGGACCTGGAGCAGGAAAAATCAATAGGGCTCATCCTCTCATTGTCCCAATGCTTCACAATTAATTTGAAAAAAAGAAGAAGAGTTTGTGTACCAAAATCAAACTGATCCAAGAACTTTTGATCCTTAACACATTTTAAGTTTCTTCTGAATTCGACAAAATTGTCATTGTCCCAATGCTTCACAATGAATTTGAAAAAAAGAAGCAGAGTTTGTGTACCAAAATCAAACTGATCCAAGAACTTTTGATCCTAAACACATTTTAAGTTTCTTCTGAATTCGACAAAATTGTCGATTCTAGACAATAGGGACTGGGTATCATTCAGATTTGATGAACAAAGGAAAGAAACTGAGCTTACCATCTATAATCTAATACACATATTCAGTTAATAGATTGCCATGCAGAAAGTGTTAAATACCATCAAGATTCATCAAAAACCGCCCATCAAATCTGAATGATACCCGGTCCCTAGTGAGAGGTTCCACAAACTTTGTACATTAAAATAAACACAAGGGTTCTATGGAAAACAATCGTATTTTTAATGGGAGCTACGTTTCTACAAAGATTCCCTTGTCATGAAGACTTGTTATATACTCTTCAAAAAAAAAGTTGGGGATATTCAGAAAGAATACAAAACTGTGGAAATGTGCTGCTTTTTTTATTAGACGTAACCTGTGTATGTTAATAATAGGCCAATTGCCTACACATGAACATAAACAGTTCATATGGCCGGCTTATCTGACGGCCCCATTTCACTCGCAAAGAGATACACCATCAAAAGTGAAAATGGATGTTTTTTATTTTTGTCTTAATAATGAGTAATTGCTCCACCAATCCTCAGACATTCAGCAATTCGTCGTGGCATGCTCCTAATCATCCGTCCAATCACGATTTGGGACAATCTGACCCACTCCTCTTGCAGTGCCACGGCCAATTCATGCAGTGTTGTCGGTGGACGTTGACGTCTCCCGATCAAATTAAATGTAACACACTAAAGAAAAGATACGCTAAACAGTAAATCTTTTGCAAGAAACGATAGAAAGCAAACATGGATAGATAAAACAGCACGAGGCAGTTTTCATCAACCCTTCCTTGAAATGTCAAATTTGACAGTGAACCCCTCCCACATGTGTGTCGCATGTGCAGCTCAGTGGTTCTGTTGGGGCGATAAGTTCTTCATCTGTGAACATACTCTCAAAGCATGTCAAGTGTCCATGACTATTTATCATATCACAACCTGCATAGGTATTTGCATTTCAATATCCCCTACTTGTTTTGAAGAGTATATATATGAATATTGCAGTATAGTTATAGTTATATATATGGAGAAATTTATATATGGTTGGGCACCCTAGCTCTAGTTGTATAATGTATATGTTTTGTAGTTTGGGAGTGACTTATCAAACTTCCCACTTTAAAATGCTATTGCATTTCTAATGATTTTAAATTTATCCTGATATTACATGTATATATGTCTTTGTAGTTTAGGAGGGACCTATGGAAGATTAGTTTTTTTGTTTTTTTGCAAACTAAATACATTGCCTCATTAAATAAAGTTTTTATTATTATTATTATTATAAATATTATTACTTACCTTGAGGTTGAATAAAAGATGAATGGGGAACAGCTTGTAATGGAGATCCACTGTTTGATAAAAACACATTGCTGTTAGCGGTAGTTTTATATCTTGATCCTAATATAGCATTGTAACCTATTCAATATATCATAGACTTATTTAATACAATATGCATTATTTTTAATGAAACAACTAGTTATTTTAGTTCTCCAATCAATTTTGTTACAAAAGTGTTTTATTCTGTCTATCTAGGCTGACCAAGAACTTTTTAAAACCAGCGGCTGCCAGGCAGGATACGCCCACATTTTTCAAGAGATGGATAGAGAGCAAGCTAACAAAAAGCGTTTTTTTTGTACAATCAGGGGCCACAGTTCAGGAAGTTACGATGCGATATGCGCAAATATCGACATACAGCAACCAAGATCTTTGGGTTATAAACATGCATTCAAGTTTCATCAAAATTGGATCAAAATTGTGAGATCTAGACGGTTCACAACCTTGATAGTGTCATATCGGTGAATGAATGTATCTTGTTATTGTTATATTTTATGAATGTATAAATAAATAAATGATAATAATTGATTATATATGTTCTTTTATTTATTAGGGAGATGGGTGGGTGCCTGGGTGGGTATAAATGTCGATGTGAGATTGAATTTTTGTGTGACTGTCCTTGACCCAATTAAAACCGATCGACATTCCGATAGCATGAAGTTTTCGGCTTCTTATTATGTGCTAAAAATAGCACCACTTTCTCCATGATAAAATGACCGGTTGGGAAATTTTGAAGTGGAAGCCCTCAATCACAACCTTGATATACCATATTTTTACATTGTTTGCGTTCGAGGGGCGGCCATTTTGGCCAGCAGTTTTGGTCCGATTTTCACGAAATTCGAACTCAACCGTCATTAAGGTGTAACGGTGATATATTCAAACGTTTTTTTCAATCGGAATAAAATTGTGACCTCAAGAGGGACCTGAAGCTAAAAACGTGATTTTTTGTACAATCAGGGGCCATAATTCAGGAAGTTACAATCAGATATACGCGAATATCGAAAGGAACCAAGATCTTTGGGTTATCAACTTACATTTCAAGTTCCATCAAAATCCGAAATAAATTCTGACCTCAAGAGGGTCCCCAACATTGATATACCATATTTTTGTGCTATTTGAGTACGAGGGGCGGCCATTTTGTCTGTCAGTTTTGGTCCAATTTTTACGAAATTCGAACTCAACCATCCTTAGGGTGTAACGGTGATATATTCACATGTTTTTTTAAATCAGATAAAAATAATGACCGCTATAGGGTCCACAAGCTAAAAATGCGATTTTGAGTACAATCAAGGGCCATATTTCAGGAAGTTAGGGTCCGATATGCGCGAATATCGAAAGGAACCGAGATCATTGGGTTTTAAACTTACATTTCAAGTTTTAATAAATTCAGAAGAAAATTGTGACCTCTAGAGGGTCCACAACCTTGATATAGCATATTTTTACGCTACTTGAGAACAAGGGGCGGCCATTTTATCTTTCAGTTTTAGTCCGATTTTTACGAAATTCGAATTCAGCCATCCTTAGGGTGTAACAGTGATATACTAAAACGTTTTTTTAAATCGTATAAATAGTATGACCACTCTAGGGTCCACAAGCTAAAAACGCGATTTTTCTTACAATCAGAGCCATAATTCAGTAAGTTACAGTCCGATATGCACGAATATAGACAGGAACCGAGATCTTTGGGTCATAAACTTACATTTAAAGTTTCATCAAAATCAGAAGAAAATTGTGACCTCTAGAGGGTCCACAACCTTGATATACTATATTTTTAAGCTATTTGAGAACACAGGGCTGCCATTTTGTCTGTCAGTTTTGGTCCGATTTTCACGAAATTTGAACTCAACCTTCCTTTGGGTGTAACGGTGATATACTAAAAAGTTGTTTTTTTAAATCGGATAAAAATTGTGACCTCTATAGGGTCCACAAGCTAAAAACGTGATTTTTCGTACAATCAGGGGCCATGAAGTTACGATCCGATACATGACAATATCAAAAGGAACCGAGATCTGAGGGAAATAAACTTATATTTCAAGTTTTGTTGAAATCGGACAGAGTGTCCACAAACAATTGTGGACGGACAGGGGCGACGGCAATTATATGTCCACATGAAAATGTGGGCTTATAAAAACACAACACTGGAAAACAATCACTGGTTTATAAATAAAGAAATAGCAGCATGCACAAAGAGAAATCAAAATTGGAAAACAATCAACAGATTTATATATAATTTAATAACAAAGATAGGTTGCCAGGCAACGAAACAAACGCGCACAGCAGCTACATCGTCCGGGCAGTCAAGAAGAGTTGTCGCATATTTTTACTTTTTTCGGTAATGAAACATTTATAATACATTAAAATCTGATTAAGAGTAACATCTCATTAACTAATTATCACAAAACCATTAGAATTTGTTTGGTTTTTATAATGTTCTGCCCCATACGTTAAGTATACGAAACTTTTAACATCACAGATTTAGCTGTTCAAGTCATAAAGATTAATTGAAAATCAATATACCTGTTCGTCTCAAGACCGTAAACACTGTGTATCAATTTAAAGTCAATCGGATATTAACTTTAGCCTCTAGAGTGTCCACAAGATTTTTCAAAGTGATCAAGGGTCATAACTCTGACAGTAATTATTGGAAATCGCTGAAAATCAATAGGCTTCTTTTTCTCATGACCTTAAACACTGTTTATAAATTTAAAGTCAATCGGATATTAACTTTAGCTTTTAGAGCGTCCACAAGATTTTTCAAAGTGATCAAGGGCCATAACTCGTTGAAAATCAATAGGTTTCTTTGTCTCATGACCTTAAACACTAATTATAAATTTAAAGTCAATCGGATATTAACTGAAATGTCCGGCTGAAAATCAGTTCAGCTGAACCTTAGCAGTTATTTCAAGACTTGTTCATAAGGTTTTCGGCAAAGTGGAATAACTCGGGTACAAAAAACTGTGGATTATGAATATTGATAGGGATTGATTGACCCCAATGGCTCAAGTCAAATATGAAATAGGCTTCTTTGTTTCACTAATATACGATTACGTGCTGCATATCAATTACATACAGATCAGATTATAACGTATGTCATTAGAGTGTTCACAAGGTGCAGCAGAGTGAAACAAGGGCCAAAACTCCAGAACAAATTCAAGAAAATTATTGACAATAAATAGGCTTCTTCATCTCACTAATGTAAACAACATATATCAATTTAAAACAATCAAATGATAAATGTTGTCAGTAGAGTGTTCACAAGAAATTGTGGATGACGGCAATATACAACCACATTTCCATGCGTATAAAAAGTGATTGATTTTGCAACTCGAATCACAAACAATAGATCAATATCGTGTTAAAACTTTTTTAAATTACCATATATAAGTTTTCAATTTTGGAAAATCTTCAAGAGATAAATGAAAATAAATTTTTAAAACTTACCAAAAAGAACAGATGCTGCTGTTATCAATATTATGATAAATAAAACGAACCAGGACTGATAGTTAAATAGAATATTTCTGATTAACATTCCCCAACCTACATCTCTGGCATAACCTCCTTTAAAACCTGTGAATATAATATACCAATTTAAGTACAATATGATGTTAAACATTGACCTACTGTTTCTATTGATTGGAAGTTTTTCACATGACAATAGTGTTTCACAAAAGTTATGACAGTAATGATAACCAAATTTCGATGTAGAAATTTATTAAGAGCCCTGCTGTATAATGCTATATGAAGCAGTATAAATACAATCATAGGTGTATGGACTCGATGAATGTTACAGGGGCAGAAAGAGAGAGAGAGAAATGGGGTTAAACGTCCACTCGACACAAACTAGGTCATTTTGGGACTAACATATGGTTTAATTTTATTTCAATAATTCGCTTGCGCGTAGGGGTCTTTAGCAGTGGGAGGAAACCGGAGGACCCGGAGAAAACCCACGAGGTTGGACAGGCGACCCTACTCCTTGTCACGTACAACCGGGGATTCGAAACCACACCAGTCGACTCAATGACAGACTTTATGATACAGCGCGCGCACGCTAACCATTCAGCCATCCAACCTGAAATGCCCTAAAAAATATTTACTTAAAATAGAAGTAAAACTAGATCTGCCAGACAGATATGAAAGCTTTTTATATTCAAGGTTACTTCCTGTCACATGTCATGGGTTATACAAAGAATCTTAACAGGAACAAACAATCATTAAAATCGCTCAACAACTCGCAAAGTTATAATCTTAAATATAGCAAAAAAAATATAGCGAAAAAATAATCTGAAAAATAATAGGAAATAACTGAGACTTGTATTGCTGTAATCCAATGACTTCCAGTTCTAGAAGTTTCAGAAAAATCACTCAAGTCGTTTAAAAACGAGACGGATCAGAAAATGAAATGAAAAGTCTCAAAAAATGGCTGGAAAATATTGAAAAAAAAATGATATAATTTTGAATGGAACTTATATTTTTGGAATCAGATTGACCTCAGCTGTTTGAATATTTAGGTCAAATTTGTAAATTTTAAAAATTAAGGAAATAAATTGTCTTGTAAACAACTTTGTCGGTACGAAAAGGGTCAATGGCGAAATTCGGAATTTTGAAATTTTCAGACATCAAAAATTAATTTCTTTTCGGATATAGGAGAGGTATTCATCAAACGTTGGCCCATTGTGTTCATTTTCATGTCCGTTAATGTGGATTTTTCAAATTTTTTCATATTCAATTCAAAATAGTGACCATCAGTTGACCAAAATCAAAATTCTGCTCCGATAGATTTTTTAGGCATTCCATCAGGGATTCAGAAAATATAACTCCCTTGTCTGTAAGTAAAATATCGCAAAAGCCTTAGGGATATTTCATGTTTCAAGATGGTGGCACTTCCGGTTCGATCGACAAACTCCATATTTTGTGTACGCATCAGTAATTTCTTAGCTAGTGCAAAAAAAACAGCGGCTGCCAGGCAGGATATGCCCACATGTTGCAAGGAATGGATAGAGAACATGCTAAAAAAAAAGATTTTTCATACAATCATAATTCATGCCATAATTCAGGCAGTATCGAAAGGAACCAAGATCTTGGGGTTATAAACATGCATTTCAAGTTTCATCAAAATCAGATCACCAGCGGCTGCCAGGCAGGAAACGCCCACATTTTGCAAGAGATGGATAGAGAACAAGCTCAACCAAAAGCGATTTTCAAACAATCAAGGGTCATAATTCAGGAAGTTACGACCCGATGTGCGCAAATATTGACAGAAACCAAGATCTTTGGGTTATAAAGATATATTTCAAGTTTCATCAAAATCGGATCAAAATTGTGACTTCTAGAGGGTCCACAACCTTGATCTACATATTTACACTATTTGCGTACGAGGGGTAGCTATTTTGTCCGGCAGTTTTGGTCCAATTTTCAAAAAATCCAACCTCAACCAACAATACGGTGTAATGGTGATATATTCGAACTGTTTTTTAAATCAGATAATAATTGTGACCTCTAGAGGGACCACAAGATAAAAACACGATTTTTTGTACAATCAGGGGCCATAATTCAGGAAGTTACATTCCGATATGCGTGAATATCGAAAGGAACCGAGATCTTTGGGTTATAAACTTACATTTCAAGTTTCAACAAAATCAGACAAAAATTGTGACCTCTATAGGGTCCACAAGCTAAAAAAGCAATTTTCGTACAATCAGGGGCCATAATCCATGAAGTTACGGTCCGATACATGCCAATATCGAAAGGAACCAAGATCTTAGGGAGATAAACCTATATTTCAAGTTTCATTGAAATCTGACAAAAATTGTGACCTGTAGAGTGTCCACAAACAATTGTTGACGGACAGGGGCGACGACAATACGTCCACATGAAAATGTGGGCGTATAAAACTTTTAAGGCATTCTGACCTACTTTTTTTTTTGATTTTTCAAAACTTTGTCCCTTCATTTATAAAGATATCGTTGAAGTTGGGTCAATGAGATCTACCTACATTCCAAATTTCATGAAAATCGTACAGATATTAAAGAAGTCGTCAATTTGGTTTTACTTCTGATAAGAAATGTCACCGACGTAATTTTCAAAATTCGAGAATTGGAAATAGCAGATTTGAACTAAATACTTCGAGGTACTAAAAGAAAACAGGATTAGTAAAATAGGTCAAATAGTCACAAAGTTCAAGCTATGTAGGTCAATTCCTTTGTTCGTAAAATTCAGTGATTTCGGATTCGTAAAACGTTTTGAAAATATTCAAAAGTTACCACCCATTTTTGGTGGAGTAGGTAAAATTTACACAACAATCCTACGGTTAGATTCTTAGAAATCCGATTTGCACGAAACACACACACAAAAAAAATAATAATAATAACTTTAACAAACACAATAAAGCTTTCATATGAAATCTTAATTAGTGTTTTATTACATTTTGGGCACTTTATTTTGCCAACTAGATGAAATAATAATTTTGTACTATACCCGTCTGCCCGAAAAGACAGATTGCTCGAAAGTTAGGAGGCCAGCCTATGAATACAATAATTTACATAATCACTACATACCTGTTCCATCAGGCTTCTGTCCTAACAACTTCACTAATACAGGAACTCTGACTTTTTGACCAGTGAGATGACTAGACATCTCAACAAACAGATCTAATGATTCTCGTTCCCATATACTAAATGTATCTAAAAGTCGTACAGGAAACAAAATCACAGCTCCAGACTGGGTATCTCTTTCAGGTATTAATGATTCAATTAAAGAACTATCACTTACAACTATCTGTAAATTGATAAGAAAATGTGTTAACCATTGCAATATTACTATATTAAAAGTCATAGGAAAAACATTCTTCCTTTTGCCTCAATGTACACTTCAAAAGACAGGATGCCAGGCTTCAAACATAATTTGAAAAAAATCTGTTAAAAACTATAGTCTCTATCATTATTAGAAGGTTTTCAGCAAAGGAGAGATACCTCGCAGAACACTAACAAGAGCATCGCTAACGCTGCAATACCTGCTTTGATTGATATGGTACTTTTTATCAGCGGCTGCCAGGCAGGATACGCCTACATTTTCGAGAGATGGATAGAGAACAAGCTAAAAAGAACGTGATTTTTCCTACAATCAAGGGTCATAATTCAGAAAATTACAATTCGATATGCGCAAATATCGAAAGGAACCGAGATCTTTGGGTTATAAACTTACATTTCAAGTTTAACAAAATCGGATAAAAATTGTGACCTCTATAGGGTCCACAACCTTGATATACCGTATTTTTACGCTATTTGAGAACGAAGGGAGGCCAATATGGCTGTCAGTTTTGGGCCGATTTTCACAAAATTCGAACTCAGCCGTCCTTAGGGTGTAACGATGATATAATAATACGGTTTTTTAAATCAGATAAAAATTATGACCTCTATAGGCTCCACAAGCTAAAAACGCGATTTTTCGTACAATCAGGGGCCATAATTCAGGAAGTTACAGTCCAATATGCGCGAATATCGAAAGGAACCAAGATCTTTGGGTTATAAACTTACATTTCAAGTTTCACATAAATCAGGAAGTTACGGTCCGATATGCGCGAATATCGAAAGGAACCGAGATCTTTGGGTTATAAACTTGATATACCATAATTTTACGCTATTTTAGAACGAAGTGCGGCCATTTTGTCTGTCAGTTTTGGGCCGATTTTCACGAAATTTAAACTCTGCCGTCCTTAGGGTGTAACGGTGATATAATAATACGGTTTTTCAAATCAGATAAAAATTATGACCTCTATAGGGTCCACAAGCTAAAAATGTGATTTTTCATACAATCAGGGGCCATAATTCAGAAAGTTACGGTCCGATATGCGCGAATATCGAAAGGAACCGAGATCTTTGGGTTATAAACTTACATTTAAAGTTTCATCAAAATAGGATTAAAATTGTGACCTCTATAGGGTTAACAAGCTAAAAACGTGATTTTTCGTACAAACAGGGGCCATAATCCATGAAGTTTCGATCCGATACATGCCAATATCGAAAGCAACCAAGATCTTTTGGAGATAAACCTATATTTCAAGTTTCATCAAAATCGGATAAGAATTGTGACCTGTAGAGTGTCCACGGACGGACGGACGGATTGACGACAATATACGTTCACATAAAAATGTGGGCGTATAATAATTATGACCTGTAGTGTTGTAGAGTGCCCACAAGCTAAAAATGTAATTTTTTGTACAATCAGGGGCCATAATCCATGAAGTTATGGTCCGATTTATGCCAATATTGAAAGGAACCGAGATCTTTGGGAGATAAGACCTATATTTTAAGTTTCGTCAAAATCAAATAACAATTGTGACCTGTAGAGTGTCCACAAACAAATTGTGGACGGATGGACAGGTACGACAACAATATATGTCCACATGAAAATGTGGGCGTATAAAAAAAGATTATAACTTTTATCACATTCACAAACAAAAGGAGGCATACCTCTGGAAAAGAATGGCATGCAACAATATCATACAGGTTCGACCTCACATGACTAAACATTTCAGACCAAATTTGAAAAAAATCTGTTGAAGATAACACTGAGAGCTCTCATATTTAATTATCATTTCTGAAATGCTCACATAAAATATTCCTGAAGTTTTAACGAAAACATCAATTCGTTTGCTCGATATGTAGCAATAAGTCCAGTGTAACCTGTCGTGACCTATCACAGGCGTGCTATTTACAGACAAAAACAAGGGAATTCCACAGACAATGGCCAACAATGTTGAAGGGACTGATAGTACTGACACCAAAAGATTGGACTAGAGATAAAATTGCTTATGGTTGTGGTAATACAAACTAAAATAATGTTTCACTCCATTAATTTCCTATTGAAAATAACAGTTATTTTAAAACAATGGGTTAGTTTTGTTACAACAAAGCGAAATAAATGGACAAGATCATTCAGTTTTTTGTTTGCTACATTTTACACTGTCTGCAAAACGGTACTGAATATTCACTGAATATTAAGCGACATCTCCTTGTCTCCTTGTAAGCGGTCATGAGAAATTCCCCCCGTAGAAATTCAATTGTTCCATCTCTTTAATCAATGGTCACTCATCTAACGTGGCCAGTGGTCACCATTTTACTAATAAATTTAGCAAAATAGCACTTATTCAACAGCCATTGTTGAATGATACCATCTTGTCGTACTTCGTAGCACCTCCGCTAATCCCATGATTAATAGTTAATTATCTACTCCCCCACCGATCAAGTAAAACGAACTGTGAAAATAACAATAAACCTGGGATTATCTGTTAATTAATCTTTTGTTTTATTAAATGACAAACCCAGATCATTGTTTTCAAACGTAACGAAACACTATTTGATACTGATTAAATGAACTAAAAGTACCGTCAAAGCCGAGTTTTGTCACAATCATTTAGTATCCATTTTCCATTGCCACTTTGTTGCTAAACAGAAGTTTTAGCGCCTCTTATTATTATATAAGTATAAGAGTTACACCCCCTGAAAATCGGTGACAAATTCAGCGATGGTTTTTTCGACATGTGCGTTTTTGATAAAATAAAATTAATTCATGGATTGTCTTCACAAAAATGGATAAATATTATCAAATACATCACAATGGTAGACAGAAGTATCAATGTTGGTACAAAATGACACGTTTACAGAAGATATATCAGAGATTTGAGTCAAAGAATTTTCGTTCTAAGCAAGTTTCAGCCACGGCTCAATTTACCGATGCAAGTACCACCGTATGTTTGCTCCCAATAATGCACCCAAGCATAAAATTTACTTGATGTCAGCACTAACAAACACTGAGATTTTATTAAGAGGTCACTCACGTTAAGCGGCCAGTCATGAAATTTGCCTTGAGTGGCTGCTTAATACAGATTCCACTGTACTAAGGTTTGAAAAGATTTGGCAGAAGTACAGTAATTAATTAATTGTAGACATATAAATTATTATTGGTGATATGTGACAGCGACTGTTAAGAATATTCAAATATTGTTTACCTTTATACTATCAATCAATTCGAATTTAGTTGATACACGAAGAGATGATAGTGGAGAAGTTGTGGTTAATAAAACCTCAGAGTTGTGCACATAAAACGCTGGATGAAAGTCAAATAACAATTTGTTTGATGTAATCTCTGGTTGACCTTCCTGTGTTGGTAGGGTTACATGCAAAAGTATTTTGGTATTCAGGGTACTTATCTGATGTGTCATGTATTCATTTTGAATAGACTCCAATTTGCAAACATATTGACCTAAAATAGAAATGTTATAAGTACATGTATTGGACACATACACACCCACTGCAGGCTCTCTGTATTCCAGGGAATTCAACAAAAGGCATCCATTCTGAAAGTTGCTCATATGAAATATGACAAAGATTGATAAATAGATAAGATGGTAATAGAATTAACAGTATTTGCTTTAAAGGGCAATATTGGTGTCAGCCATTATCACATATGTGATAGAACTGGTTAAACACATTCCAAATATAATAGTTAAAACACAGATCATTGCTACAATTCTTCGCCTCATCACCTGAATTTAAAGTCATTCGGATATTAACTTTATTCTCCAGAGCGTCAACAAGATTTTTCAAAGCGATCAAGGACCATAAATCTGGCAGTAATTGTCGGAAATCGTTGAAAATCAATTGGATTCTTTGTCTCATGACCTTACACTTTACCTATGGCACCGTTTGAAACGGGGGGTTTTGCCGCTAGTTAGTATTCATATAGTTTACTTTCAAAACATTGTTCGATAATTGATAAAAATCATTTAAGAATTACAAAATTGGTTTAATTGGTACTATGGTTTAGATTAATGGTAATGGGTTTAGTCTATCCGAGAGACGTTTATAAATGCACGATCCGTTCACTTATCTACCGCGTTTACTTTTTAGACGACCTGTTAATTTCCGGAGATATGAGTATAAATCAACACACTTTAATTTATCTACCGTGTTTAATTATTAGATGAACCTTTAAACTTCGGGCGAGCTGTTTATCCGATCGGTTCGTTTTAATTATGATTATTTACATATGAAGAACAAATAAAAAAGATGAGAATTAAAAAAAGGCACACACATAGATGCTCGCCTTACTGTGGTAAATCACGTCCCAGGTAATTATACAATCGGGAATTGGTAAATCACATCCCAGGTAATGTATCTTCTTTAATTCACAAATGAATTAACGCAGTCTTCCATCTGCACACATCGCCAGAAGTCAATCACAATGGCAGTGCAAAGAAAAGTCACTGTCAATCTCTATAGACAAGCTGTCGACCATTTTCAGACAGGGCTATCGGAATGGGTTCAAACAGGAAATAGGCTTCAATGATTACTGCCTTGATGTTACGTAATCACTTGATTGGGGGCAATAAAATGTTGACTGCAGAACAATGATTTTTGTTATTCCTGAATCAAATGATAATTCATTAAATCAACATCTACACTGTCCCAATACATGCACTCGTATGGTATTATAAAATAATGTGTCTTGTGGAGGTCAGAATGAGGATTGGGCACCAATGTTATATTTTGGTACAGATTCAAAATCCACATTCCCGAATAAGAAAAGGGTTTATAAATAAAACAGAACATATACTTAGCTATGATAATTTAGTAACAAAAACTAATTGTCACAATGGGTCGAAAAAATGAGAACGACCAACGAGCCGAAATGCGACGATTCTCGAGTCTGACATTGAGTATCCTCTGAATAATGTTGATATTTACATCAAAGCCAAAATGCACGAAAGTGAACGTAAGCATTGACTATGAAATTGACATTTATATAGGGTCTCATATTTTGATAACGTCACGGTATCTGAAAATAATAATAGACCTATCGTACACGCAAAATCTTATTTTAATTCACGTGTTAACTGAACACGCGTACAGCTGTTTCAGCTTCTTTGATGATTATCCAATCAACAATCTAAATCTCCTGACCACTAGCTGGCACTAAGGTGCTAATTAATTGATGAGATTAACTGAGTTAATCTCACTAAAGTTATATTATACACAACAGACTACTAATGTATAGATTGAAAATGTGGGCACATAAAAATGAATCCTTTCATTTATACTGTTTGAATGGCATTTAGTAATTGAACACATTAAAAATAAACACAACAGTTTTATGGATAAAAATTACTGTATTTCTATTTAAGCTAAGTTTCAACAATCATTCTCTTGTCGTTATCAAGCACAATACAATACAATATTGTGCTTGATAACGACAAGAGAATCATTGTTTCGTTCATTACATACTCTTCAAACCAGCGGCTGCCAGGTAGGATATGCCCACATTTTCGAGAGATGGATAGAAAACAAGCTAAAACGAAAGTAATTTTTCCTACAATCAAGGGCCATAATTCAGGAAATTACAATTCGATATGCGCAAATATCGAAAGGAACCAAGATCTTTGAGTTATAAACTTACATTTCAAGTTTCAACAAAATCGGATAAAAATTGTGACCTCTATAAGGTCCACAACCTTGATATACCATATTTTTACGCAATTTGAGAACGAGGGGCGGCCATTTTGTCTGTCAGTTTTGGGCCGATTTTCACGAAATTCGAACTCAGTAGTTCTTAGGGTGTAACGGTGATATAATAATACGTTTTTTTTAAATCGGATAAAAATTATGACCTCTATAGGGTCCACAAGCTAAAAACGCGATTTTTCGTACAATCAGGGACCATAATTCAGTAAGTTACGGTCTGATATGCGCGAATATTTAAATTAACCGAGGTCTTTTGGTTATAAACTTACATTTCAAGTTTCAACAAAATCGGATAAAAATTGTGACCTCTATAGGGCCAACAACCTTGATATACCATATGTTTACACTATTTGAGAACGAATGGCGGCCATTTTGTCTGTCAGTTTTGGGCCGATTTTCACGAAATTCAAATTCAACGGTGATATAATAAAACGTTTTTTTAAATCGGATAAAAATTATGACCTCTATAGGGTTCACAAGCTAAAAATGCAATTTCTCATACAATAAGGGGCCATAATTCATGAAGTTACAGTCCAATATGCGCGAATATCGAGAGGAACCGAGATCTTTGTGTTATAAACTTACATTTCAAGTCTCAACAAAATCGGATAAAAATTGTGACCTCTATAGGGTCCACAACCTTGATATACCATATTTTTACGCTATTTGAGAACAAAGGGCGGCCATTTTGTCTGTCAGTTTTGGGCTGATTTTCACGAAATTCAAACTCAGCCGTCCTTAGTGTGTAACGGTTATATAATAATACGGTTTTTTAAATCGGATAAAAATTATGACCTCTATAGGGTCCACAAGGCAAAAAACGCGTTTTTGCGTACAATCTGGGGCCATAATTCAGGAAGTTACGGTCCGATATGCGCGAATATCGAAAGGAACCAAGATCTTTGGGTTATAAACTTACATTTCATGTTTCAACAAAATCGGATAAAAATTGTGACCTCTACAGTGTTCACAAGCCAAAAACGTGATTTTTCTTACAATCAGGGGCCATAATCCATGAAGTTATGGTCCGATAGATGCCAATATCGAAAGGAACCGAGATCTTAGGGTGATAAACCTATATTTCAAGTTTCATTGAAATCTGATAAAAATTGTGACCTGTAGACTGTTCACAAACAATTGTGGACGGACGGACAGGGGCGACGACAATATACGTCCACATGAAAATGTGGGCGTATAAAAAAGTAGGAGCTATTGAAATGCAAATACCTATGCAGGTTGTGATATGATAAATAGTCATGGACACTTGACATGCTTTGAGAGTATGCTCACAGATGAAGAACTTTTCGCCCCAACAGAACCACTCAGCTGCATGTTCGACACGCAATAGCGCCATACATGTGAGAGGGGTTCATTGTCAAATTTGACACTTCAAGGAAGGGTTGATGAAAACTGCTGCTTGCTGGTTTATCCTATCCATGTTTGCTTTCCTATCGGTTCTTGCATAAGATTTACTGTTTAACGTATCTTTGCTTTAGTGTGCTACGTTTAATTTGATCGGGAGACATGTTCGTCGAAGTCAACGGACAACACTGCAAGAATTGGCAGTGGCACTGCAAGAGGAGTGGGTCAGATTACCCCAAATCGTGATAGGACAGTTGATTAGGATTAGGAGCATGCCACAACGAATTGCTGTATGTCTGAGGATTGGTGGAGCAATTACTCATTATCAAGACAAAAATCAAAAACATCCATTTTCACTTTTGACAGTGTATCTCTTTGCAACTGAAATGGGGCCGTCAGATAAGCCGCCCATATGAACTGTTTATGTTCATGTGTGGGCAACTGGTCTGTTATTAACATACACTGGTTACCTCCCATAAAAACAGCAGTGCATTTCCGCAGTTTTGTATTGTTTCTGAATATCCCCTACTTTTTTTTGAAGAGTATATTTGCATGTCTAGTGAGGATTGGTAACACATATTCACCTTTTCTGGGATCAAACTCTGGAAGAACAGTAAATAAATCTTTTATTTTCAGATCTGTTTGTTGATTAGTAAGTTGCATATGACAACGGAATGGTATAATCAATGGCAAATATAAATCTTCTGCTATTCTAGCACTGCAATTATCACCTGAAAAATATCAATGTTACCATTCATTCATGTCCTCTACCAACACACTAACAAATTTTACAATGCATGCATCTACAAGGGGTGTCCCAAATGTTTCCGTCCTCAACATGAACTCTAGAGGGTCCACAACCTTCGTACTACATACTTTTACACAATTTGTGTACAAAAGCAGCCATTTTGTCATGCAGTTTCATTTCTATTTTCCCGAAATATGAATTTAGCCTTCATTATGGTGGAATAGTGATATATTTAAACAGTTTTTAAAATCGGATAAAAAATTGTGACATCTAGAGAATCTACAAGCTAAAAATACAAATTTCCGTACAATTTTTATATGCCCACATTTTCATGTGGACGTATCCTGCCTGGCATCCGCTGGTTTAAATCAGATAAAAGTTATGACCTCTATAGGGTCCACAAGCTAAAAACGCGTTTTTTCGTACAATCAGGGGCCATAATTCAGAAAGTTACGATCCGATATGCGCGAATATCGAAAAGAACCAAGATCTTTAGGTTATAAACTTACATTTCAAGTTTCATCAAAATCAGATAAGAAAATTGTTACCTCTAGAGGGCCCCACAACCTTGATATACCATATTTTTACGCTATTTGAGTACAAGGGACGGCCATTTTGTCTGTCAGTTTTGATCCGATTTTTACGAAATTCAAATTCAACCATCCTGAGGGTGTAACGGTGATAAACTCAACGGTTTTTGAAATCAGATAAAAATTATGACCTCTATAGGGTCCACAAGATCTTTAGGTTATAAACTTACATTTCAAGTTTCATCAAAATCAGATAAGAAAATTGTTACCTCTAGAGGGCCCCACAACCTTGATATACCATATTTTTACGCTATTTGAGTACAAGGGACGGCCATTTTGTCTGTCAGTTTTGATCCGATTTTTACGAAATTCAAATTCAACCATCCTGAGGGTGTAACGGTGATAAACTCAACGGTTTTTGAAATCAGATAAAAATTATGACCTCTATAGGGTCCACAAGCTAATAACACGATTTTCTGTACAATCAGGGGGCATATAATTCAGGAAGTTACAGTCAGATACATGCCAATATAGAAAGGAAATGAGATCTTAGGGTGATAAACCTATATTACAAGTTTTACTGAAATTGGATAAAAATTGTGACCTGTAGAGTGTTCACAAACAATTATGGTTGGACGGACGGACAGGGACGACAACAATATACGTCCACTTAAAAATGTGGGTGTATAAAAATTGTGACCTGTAGGCTGTAGAGTGTCCACAAACAAATTGTGGGCGGACGGACAGGCGCGACAACAATATACGTCACATGAAAATGGATGCGATGTCACAGTCATTGTTTAGGTGAGGGCAACTAGAGATTGTTTTACTGAGATAAGTTTCATATTTTATATGATACTATATGTGGCCTGTGAGGGTATAATGAGTAGCAAGAGAACATTTTGAAAATTAAGTTCTAGTTGTTTTCACATTCTCCAATTCAATACCTTCACCAGCGGTTGCCAGGCAGGATACGCCAACATTTTGCAAGAGATGGATAGAGAACAAGCTAATAACAAACCAGATTTTTTGTACAATCAGGGGCAATAATCGAGAAAGTTATGGTCTGAAATGAGCAAATATCAAAAGAGACTGAGATCTTTGGAATATAAAGATATGTTTTAAGTTTGATCAAAAGCGGAAAAAAATTGTGACCTCTAGAGGGTCCACAACCTTCGTATTGCATATTTTTACACAATTTGCTACAAACAGGGGACATATCATCGGGCAGTTTCATTTCGATTTTCTCGAAATTCGAATTCATCATTCATTATGGTGGAATGGTGATATATTTTTAAAATCCGAACTCAATCAAAGTTACGTTGTAACGGTGATATATTTGTACATTTTTTTAAATCGGATAATAATTGTGACCTCTAGAGGGATCACAAGCTAAAAACTTGATTTTTCGTACAATCTGGGACATAATTCAGGAATTTATCATCCGATACGCGCGAATATCGAAAGTAACCAATATTTTTGGGTTATAAACATGTATTTCAAGTTTCGCCAAAATCGGATCAAAATTGTGACCTCTAGCACTAGGGACCTGGTATCATTCAGATTTGATGAAAAAAGGAAAGAAACTGAGCTTACCATCTATAATCTAATACACATATTCAGTTAATAGATTGCCATGCAGAAAGTGTTAAATACCATCAAGATTCATCAAAAACCGCCCAGTTTGTGCTACCGTTTAGTTTGACATCGGTTGTCTAGTTTATGAAACTAAATGGTCATAAACTGGATGACCAATATCAAAACTAAACTAAATGGTCATAAACTAGATGACCGATGTCAAAACTAAATGGTGTTTCTTAAACTAAATATTTTTGGCTTGTGGTCCCTCCGGAGGCCACAATTTTTATCCAATTTAAAAAAAGTTTTATTATATCACCGTTACACCGTAATAAAGGTTGAGTTCAAATTTCGTGAAAATCGGACCCAAACTGACGGACAAAATGGTGGCCGCTTGTACGCGAATAGTGTAAAAATATGGTATATCAAGGTTGTGGACTCTGTAGAGGTCACAATTTTAATCCGATTTTGATGAAACTTGACATGCATGTTTATAACCCAAAGATCTTGGTTCCTTTCGATATTCGCGGATATCAGACTGTAACTTCCTGAATTATGGCCCCTGATTGTACGAAAAAACGCGTTTTTAGCTTGTGGACCCTATAGAGGTCATAATTTTTATCCGATTTAAACCAGCGGATGCCAGGCAGGATACGTCCACATGAAAATGTGGGCATATAAAAATTTATGAATACAGTATTCTCCCAACATTCACCTAATGAACATCTACATCAAGTTTAAACATTCTACCTCAATTAAAAGCAGAGTTGTTATGTTCCAAAACCTTGACCAATCAAATTGCTTATTGCTCCTTAGCCTAAACAGAAAATTCTCATCAATGAACTTTGTTATGGTAATGATATAATGAATCTATACTCAGAGTTTCATCATTCTCACTTAATTAAAACCAAAGTTATCGTGCCCCAAAGCATCAACCAATCAGATTGCTTATCTCTGCTTACCGTAAGTAGACAATGTTTATCATCTACCCTGAGCAGAAAATGCTCATTATCGAACTTAGTCAAGGTACTGATGTGATAAAACTATATCCCAAGTGTCCTCACTCTCACTTAATAAGAATTAAAGTTATCATGTCCCAAAGCATCAACCAATCAAATTGCTTATCTCTGCTTACCCTAAGCAGAAAATTCTCATCTTTGAACTCCATCAAGGCATTCACCTAATAGTAATAAACACCTACGCCAAGTGTCAACATTCTAGCTCAATTAGAATGAGAGTTATTGTTACCCAAAGCATCAACCAATCAAATTGCTTACCATAAGCAGAACATGCTCATTTTCGAACTCCATCAAGGCAATGATCTAATAAACACCTACACCAAGTTTGAACATTCTAGCTCAATTAGAAGGAGAGTTATAGTGTTTCAAAGTCTCAGTCAATCAAATTGCTTTTCGCTCTGCTCACCCTGACTAGAAAATGCTCATTATCAAACTTAGTCGAGGTATTGATGTAATGAACCCATACACCAAGTTTCATCACTCTCATTTAATTTGTACTAAAGTTATCATGTCCCAAAGCATCAACCAATCAAATTGCTTATCTCTGCTTACCCTAAGCAGAAAATGCTCATCTTCGAACTTAATCAAGGCATTGACCTAATAAACACCTACTCCAAGTTTGAATATTCTAGCTCAATTAGAAGGAGAGTTATTGTGTCCCAAAAAGTGTGAAGGGCAGACAGACGGACCCATTTCAATAGTCCCCTGCTTTCTTCGAAAGGCGGGGGACTAAAGGTCCAAATAAAGGTGTTACAAAATGTTTTGTTGCTATTTAGATCTTTTAGGTTGATAGATAGTATATTTATATAGACTCATTTTTGTGAAATCTCAATTTCGACCAAAATCAATACTTTCACTTGTTCTGTTTGTAGCCCAATATTAGAATTTCCGCATTCCGACTCATTAGGCCAACACAGGTCACATATATGTTCTTTGCTAGGAATTGCCATGTTTAAATGACCTTACATGGTCACCTTTTCTGTCCAGTCTGTCATACTGGAATTAGCCTGTGAGTATGATGTCATATATCTATATTTAGCTTATTCCCTATGTCATCAAAATTATGACATAGTTCAAAATACAGTAGCCAGATAAAAATTTTCATCAACTCTTAGATTTTGACACCTGAATTACTTTCTTTTAAAGATGCATTATGCAAGAGCTAAACTGCCTATTGCAGGCCTTAAATGTTATATAAATTATTATTTAGACATTTATTAACTTGCCAAGACCAGAATTAATTCTTGTTGTCATCTGATGTTTGCAATTTTCAACTGATTTAAACACAATTGGTGGTTAATGATTTAATTATAAAGTGGATAATCAAGACTTTGTTTTCTATCGCAACAACGGTAGCAATGACAATCAAGACTCTGCTAGTCTCCAAACAGCCCTAACGTCGCTCAGAATGAAGTAATTTGACTGAAATTGTCAAGATATTCATTTTTATTATCTAGTTTTTAACTATTATACCGAGAACTTTCAGCTCTTCATCTTTCAGCTCTTCATAATGGATCTTTAACCCATCGCTAAAGTTTTAATGTTAAAAGTCAGCTTTTGGGCATATCCCAAAGATAGCAACAGCAAGATTACAGGACTTGCAGGGGAGGACTGGGCAAAAATGCAAATATACAAACATTTATACGGTACCTTTTAATGTGCCATTTGCATCCACTCTAATAGGTACACTAACACTTTTATGGGCCAGTCCATTAGATAAAGCATTCAAGTTGGAATTTAAATCAAGGTTTCTTATTGGGTCTATATTAATCTGAAATGTATAAAGTATTAAAATAGAAGATTTCTTCATATAGCAAAATTCAAAATGAACAATGTAAGTTTATACATTAACAAGAAATAATTAAAAAAGAAAGATAACTATCAACTCTCCTAGGAATATGGTCAACTAAGATGAGGTTCGTCAGGCAATCCTGCTGATCACCTGAGCTAAATGTTTTGGAAAAAGGACGTTTCTAGTGTTGAGAGCATGGGTTCCAGCTTGGCCATATATGCCGGTCATGACTGCTTGAGAAAAACAAATTGTTGCCATGCAAGATATGCCAACATTTTGGAAGAGATGAACAGAAATCCAGCTAAACAAGCCAAAAGTGAGGCTGATGTCCCCCGTCAAAATCCCAAAATAAATAGATGACACATTAATTTATCGCACATTTATTTTATTCAAAAGTATCGAACAATCAAACTATACACTAAGTTTCATCACTCTCTTTCAGATAGAATCAAGATTATATCTTATCCCAAAGCATCGACCAATGAAATTGATTAGCTCTGCTTAGCTTCAGCTTGAAATGTTAATCATTGAACTCAGTCAAGACATTCACTCACCTAATGAACATCTACATCAAGTCTAAACATTCTACCTCAATTAAAAGCAAAGTTGTTATGTTCCAAAGTCTTGACCAATCAAATTGCTTATCGCTCCTTAGCATAAGCAAAAAATTTTCACCATTGAACTTAGTCAAGGTAATGATATAATGAATCTATATTTGGAGTTTAATCGCTCTCACTTCATTATAACCAAAGTTATTGTGCCCCAAAACATCAATATCAATCAGATTTGCTTATCTCTGCTTACCGTAAGCAAACAATATTCATCATCGAACTCCATCAAGGCATTCATCTAAAAGGCATTCATCTAATAAACGCCTACACCAAGTTTGAACATTCTACCTCAATTAGAAGGAGAGTTATTGTGTTCCAATTCTCGACCAATCAAATTGCTTATCGCTCTGCTTACCCTCAGCAGAAAATGTTCATTATCGAACTTAGTCAAGGTATCGATGTAAAAAAAAAGCTATACACCAAGTGTCCTCACTCTCACTTCATTAGGACTAAAGTTATCGTGTCCCAAAGCATCAACCAATCAAATTGCTTATCTCTGCTTACCGTAAGTAGACAATGTTTATCATCTAACTCCATTAAGGCATTTACCTAATAAACACCTACACCAAGTGTGAACATTTTAACTCAATTAGAAGGAGAGTTATTGTGTTCCAAAGTGTCGACCAATCAAATTGCTTATCCCTCTGCTTACCCTCAGCAGAAAATGTTCATTATCAAACTTAGTCAAGGTATTGATGTAAAAAAAGCTATACACCAAGTGCCCTCGCTCTCACTGAATTAGAACTAAAGTTCTCGTGTCGCAAAGCATCAAACAATCAAATTGCTTATCTCTGCTTATCCTAATCAGAAAATGTCCAACTTTAAAGGAGCTAAATCGCTAACATTTGGGACCTAGAAATTGACAAAAGTGGGTCGCAACGCATATAATACTGTAATATGAATGTATATAAACTGATTGACATTCAATGGTTTCCGTTTTTACTCCAATTTCAAATCAGTTATGTTCGGCGAAATAAGCCAGCAGTTTCAAGCGAGTGCAAATTTCTAGCGTCTGGTTATTCCAGTCTACATACGCCGTTTGATTTGGTGCAATTTGTCTAGCCTCGTCCCTCTTGATACAACTGGGGCTGAAGCGCACGCATTATGGTACACGATTCACGTACCAATGGTAAAATGTTTATTTTGTCTTAAATATTGGATATCAAAACCCATCTTTTTCTGGTAAGATCACAACATGAATGTTGATATAATTTGACAAATAAATCGTGTTTTCAATGTTGAAGATTTTGGATGATATTGAGTTAGAGTCTTAGCTACTTTAAACTTCATCAAGGCATTGACCTAATAAACACATACACCCAACTTTAAACATCCTAGCTCAATTAGAAGGAGAGTTATTGTGTTCCAAAGTCTCGGCCAATCAAATTACTTTTCGCTCTGCTCAACCTGAGCAAAAATGCTCATTATCGAACTTAGTCGAAGTACTGATGTAATGAAACTATACATCAAGTTTGAACATTCTAGCTCAATTAGAAAGAGAGTTATTGTGTCCCAAAAATTGTGACGGACAGACAGACAGACAGATAGACGGACGAACCCATCCATTTTAATTGTCCCCTGCCTTTCCAAGAAAAGCGATTTTTATACAATATGGGGCCATTATACAGGTAGTTACGGTCAATATGAAAAGGAACCATCAACATTGAATAAAATTGTGATTTCTAGAGGGTCCACAAGCTAAAAATGTGATTTTTCGTACAATTGGGCACTTTAATCCAATATGTGTTAATATCTAAGAAACCAAGATCTTTGAGATGTTAAAATAAATTTTAAGTTTCATCAAAATCGGATAAAAATTTTGGCCTCTTGAGGGTCCACAACCTTAGTATTACATACTTTTGCAATATTTGCCTACGAGAAATGTATAGAAAGTGGTCAGAAATTATACAGTTGTCATTAATTAGCAGGTGTGTAACTAGCTGTAAAAGATGTCACTAATGGTGTACAAGCCTGACTATTTATAACACCCATCACTATTGAATACACAAAATGTGGGTGTATATTATTTACCTCTGTATATGTCATGAGATCCTGAGATACAGTATAAAATACAGTATTAGTTGTACCAACAGCAAGAGCTACAGCAATGCCACTTGTAGAATCTATGTCAATATCAGTACTGTCACTTGACCACTTGCCACTGTCACCTATCAAATATGAAAGACAAATTAGTATAAACATACATTGTTCATGTAATATTTGTATCAATAATTATTAGACACTTTGTCTGAATATGAAATATATTACGCATTAACAGCTAAACTGTTCATAAAGCGGTGGACACACTAGCCGAAATTCGCCTAGTGTGTCCACTGTCATTCGGCCGAATGATTCGCCCGAATCAAACAGGTTTGATATATTCGGACGAATATTTATTTGGCCGAATTATATTCGCCTGGTGTGTCCGCTTCGCCGAAGCATTCGGGTGAATATAGAATTCATTAGCCAATCACCACTCATATAGAGAAGTCACGTGATAGATTGAAGACATAGACGCCGCCATGTTTAATCATGTGACGTGAAAAGTGATGCAATCGACAGGTTGAATCGGGCGAAGCATTCGGCTAGTGTGTCCACCCATTCGGCCGAATAAAATTCGGCGCCGATTGATTCAGCCTAACGATTCGGCTAATGTGTCCACTGCTTAAGTTCATTTTTTTGTGATAACTTAAACAATCTCATTGAGTTTTATTAGAGAATAGCCAATAGGGTAGTTATCGGTAAAACCAATATCTGATCATTTTAGTAAAACTATGGGCCGATACAAGTACTGACATTGATAATTTGGACACTAAAGTGATTTTGACGTATTATACATGTCATTCTTGCATATCATTTTTAATGATTGCTGGATGATCAGTAGTTAGCAACTGCCATTCATTGAAAGTAAGTCCACCCGTTGAAATCCGAAAATAAATTGATGACACATATTAATCAATTGCACATTTATCTTTTTCAAAAGAATTGAGCAATCAAACTGATTATCCATACTTAGGCTAATCATAAAATTCAATCAAGGTTTTGAAGTACCTGGTAGTTAAACTATACAGTAAGTTTCATCACTCTCCCAGTCAGAATCAAAGATATCTTGTGCCAAAGTATTAACCAATGAAACTGCTTAGCTCCGCTTAACTTTAGCGGGAAATGTTAATCACTGAACTCAGTCAAGACATTCACCCAAAGAACATCTACATCAAGTTTAAGCATTCTACCTCAATTAAAAGCAGGGTTGTTATGTTCCAAAGTCTTGACCAATCAAATTGCTTATCGCTACTTAGCCTAAGTAGCTTATCTCTGCTTACCATTAGTGGAAAATGCGCATGATTAAACTCTGTCAAGGCAATCACTTAATAGACACCTACACCAAGTTTGTACATTCTACCTCAATTAGAAGTAGAGTTATTGTGTTCCAAAGCCTCGGCCAATCAGATTGAAGTCTCTACTTTGCCTAAGTAGACCAGCGGCTGCCAGGCAGGATACGCCCACATTTTCGAGACATGGATAGAGGAGAACAAGCTAAAACGAAAGTGATTTTTCCTACAATCAAGGGCCATAATTCAGGAAATTACAATTCGATATGCGCAAATATCGAAAGGAACCGAGATCTTTGGGTTATAAACATACATTTCAAGTTTCAACAAAATCGGAAAAAAATTGTAACCTCTATAGGATCCACAACCTTGATATACCATATTTTTACGCAATTTGAGAATGAAAGGCGGCGATTTTGTCTGTCAGTTTTGGGCCGATTTTCACGAAATTCAAACTCAGTCATCCTTAGGGTGTAACAGGGATATAATAATACTTTTTTTAAATCGGATAAAAATTATGACCTCTATAGAGTCCACAAGCTAAAAACGTGATTTTTCGTACAATCAGGGGCCATAATTCAGGAAGTTACGGTCTGATATGCACGAATATCGAAAGGAACCAAGATCTTTGGCTTGTAAACTTACATTTCAAGTTTCAACAAAATCGGATAAAAATTGTGACCTCTATAGGGTCTATAGGTTGATTGTCATGAAATTCGAACTCAGTCATCCTTAGGGTGTAACGGTGATATAATAATACTTTTGTTTAAATCGGATAAAAATTATGACCTCTATAGGGTCCAAAAGCTAAATATCGAAAGGAACCGAGATCTTTGGGTTATAAGCATACATTTCAAGTTTAAACCAAATTGGATAAAAATTGTGACCTCCACAGTGTTCACAAGCTAAAAACGTGATTTTTCGTACAATCAGGGGTCATAATCCATGAAGTTACAGTCCGATACATGCAAATATCGAAAGGAACCAATCCCTTAGGGTGATAAACCTATATTTCAAGTTTCATTGAAATCGGATAAAAATTGTGACCTGTCGACTGTTCACAAACGTGGACGGACAGACGTCCGGTCGGATGGACAGGGGCGACGACAATATACGTCCACATGAAAATGTGGGCGTATAAAAATGCTCAACATCAAACTTTGTTAAGTAAGGTATTGATGTAATGAAACTATACACGTAGTTTTACCACTATCACTCAATTAGAATCAAGTTCTAGAGCTCCAAAGTCTTGAGCAATCAAATTGCTTATCGCTCTGCTTACCCTGAGCTGAAAATGTTCATTATCGAACTTAGTCAAGGTATTGATGTGACGAAATTACACACCAAGTTTCATTACCAAAGTTATCGTATCCCAAAGCATCAACCAATGAAATTGCTTATCTCTGCTTACCCCAAGCAGAAAATGCTCATCTTCTAACCCCATCAAGGCATTCACCCAACGAACGCTTACACCAACTTTGAACATTCTATCTAAATTAGAAGGAGAATTATTGTGTTCCAAAGTCTCGAACAATCAAGTTGCTTATCGCTCTGCTTACCCTGAGCAGAAAATGCTCATGTCTCGAAAATATCTTTCCCAGTGCGTTGATGACAGATGTTGTTGTGGTACTTTCGTAAAATTGCTACTTCCTGCCAACCTGAGTATAGGCCAATCATAACCAGTAAATTGTCTCCGTTTGGAACAATCTGATTAAAATACAGACCTATATTTCGTTATGTTTTTTTTTTATACTTTTGATGGTCTCCACTAAATGAAGATCTGACCGGTTGTAGAGGAAGTTCACTTCTGGGGTCATACGAGCGGCTTTTGATGTTTCTAGAGGGATACCCACAGTTCCATTCATAGTATGCAAAGAACCCGCTGTAACCCAGAACGTGGCTTATATAATTACTATATTGTATTAATCTGGATAGTTGCATCAGTTGGACCAGGGTGGTAGATAACTTTGGAATCAAATGGTTGCAATCTCAGGACCCATCTAATGGTTTCTGATTGGTTAACAATTCAAAGGAAGATCCCAAAATATATAATCTAAATCTCTCACAGGCCCACACTACTGCAAGAGCTTCTTTCTCAGTCTACAAGTACGGTATCGACTTTCTGTGTCAGTCAATGTTCTGTTAGCATAAATCACAGGTCTGTTTGATCCATCTGTTGTTGGGTTAATATTCCGCCAACTCCAACTCAGCTTCTGTTTGCTCCACTTCAGCTCCTTTCTATGAAAATACATGGCCCATCAAGATTAGTTTTTCCATCCCAAAATTCCTTTTTTTTTCGTTTAAAGTTAATCCAGCTTCTGCAAGTCTTCCAAATACTTCTCGCAGTCTGGTGTTGTGTTCTTCTGTCATTTTACCATGAATGATGATAGCATCTGATAATTTGTCCACTCCTTTGCATCCTTGAAGGGTTTGTCCTATAATATGTTGATACATGTTGATTCCAAACATCAGGCATTTATATCTGAAGAGTCCAATATGTGATGAGAATGCAAGGATAAACCGGGACTCAGCCTTTAATTCTATCTGGTGATATCCCCATTTTGACCTAGCTTCGAAAATATGGTGCTACTATTCATATCAGTAATAATTTCTTCCGATGTTGGAATTGGATGTCGTTCTCGGATGATTGTCGGGTTGGCCTGCTTCATATCAACACATACCCTTATTTCATCACCGTTGGCTTTTGGTACATCAACCAAACCCGAAACCCACGGTGTTGGACCAGATACTCGTTCGATAACATCATCATTTTCCAATTCAATAAGCTTGGCTGCTAGATGGTGTTGACTTCGATTAGTTTATCATCTTTTATTTCTGTACTGGTAGAAACCCTCATTACTGGATCATTCCATGTCAAGTGGGTCAATTTTCTGAAATTTCGGAAATCGCCCCCCTCGAAAACCAACGGCTGCCAGGCAGGATACGCCCACATTTTCGAGAGATGGATAGAGAACAAGGTAAAAAGAAAGTGATTTTTCCTACAATCAAGGGTCACAATTCAGGAAATTACAATTCGATATGCGCAAATATCGAAAGGAACCAAGATCTTTGGGTTATAAACTTACATTTCAAGTTTCAACAAAATCAGATAAAAATTATGACCTCTATAGGCTCCACAACCTTGATATACCATATTTTTACGCTATTTGAGAACGAGGGGCGGGCATTTTCACAAAATTCGAACTCAGCTGCCCTTTGGGTGTAATGGTGATACACTAAAACGTTTTTTTTAAATCAGATAAAAATTGTGACCTCTATTGGGTCCACAAGCTAAAAACGCGATTTTTCGTACAATCAGGGGCCATAATTCAGGAAGTTACAATCCAATAAGCGCGAATATCGAAAGGAACCAAGATCTTTGTGTTATAAACTTACATTTCAAGTTTCAACAAAATTGGATAAAAATTGTGACCTCTATAGGGTCCACAACCTTTATATACCATATTTTTACGCTATTTGAAAACGAAGGGCAGCCATATTGTCTGTCAGTTTTGGGCCGATTTTCACGAAATTCGAACTCAGCCATCCTTAGGGTGTAACGGTGATACACTAAAACGTTTTTTTAAATTCGATAAAAATTATGACCTCTATAGGGTCCACAAGCCAACAAACGCGATTTTCCATACAATCAGGGGCCATAATTCAGGAAGTGACGGTCCGATATGCGCCAAAGAAATTGAGATCTTTGGGTTATAAACTTACATTTCAAGTTTCATCAAAATAGGATTAAAATTGTGACCTCTATAGGGTGCACAACCTTGATATACCATATTTTTTACACTATTTGAGAATGAAGGGCCGCCATTTTGTTCGTCAATTTTGGGCCGATTTTCACGAAATTCGAACTAGGCCGTCCTTAGGGTGTAACGGTGATATAATAATACCTTTTTTTAAATCAGATAAAAATGATGACCTCTATAGGGTCCACAAGCTAAAAACGCGATTTTTCGTACAATCAGGGGCCATAATTCCGGAAGTTACGGTCCGATATGCGCGAATATCGAAAGGAACCGAGATCTTTGGGTTATAAACTAACATTTCAAGTTTCAACAAAATCGGATAAAAATTTTGACCTCTATAGGGTCCACAACCTTGATATACCATATTATTACGCTATTTGAGAACGAAGGGCGGCCATTTTGTCTGTCAGTTTTCAAGTTATATTGTTCCAAAGCCTCGGCCAATCAGATTGAAGTCTCTACTTTGCCTAAGTAGACCAGCGGCTGCCAGGCAGGATACGCCCACATTTTCGAGACATGGATAGAGGAGAACAAGCTAAAACGAAAGTGATTTTTCCTACAATCAAGGGCCATAATTCAGGAAATTACAATTCGATATGCGCAAATATCAAAAGGAACCGAGATCTTTGGGTTATAAACATACATTTCAAGTTTCAACAAAATCAGATAAAAATTGTAACCTCTATAGGATCCACAACCTTGATATACCATATTTTACACTATTTGAGAACGAGGGGCGGCCATTTTGTCTTACAGTTTTGGGCCAATTGTCACAAAATTTGAACTCAGCCATCCTTAGGGTGTAACGGTGATATAATAATACTTTTTTTCAACCCGGATAAAAATTATGACCTCTATAGGGTCCACAAGCTAAAAACGTGATTTTTCGTACAAACAGGGGCCATGAAGTTTCGATCCAATACATGCCAATATCGAAAGCAACCGAGATCTTTTGGAAATAAACCTATAATTCAAGTTTCGTCAAAATCGGATAAGAATTGTGACCTGTAGAGTTTCCACAAACAAATTGTGGACGGACGGACAGGGGTGACGACAATATACGTCCACATGAAAATGTGGGCGTATAAAAAACCTGTTATTGTATATGTAATGGTAAGTGCAGGGGGACTGCACCACACAAAAATTTACACAAAAACAAATACACGGACAAGACATCATACTCAGGAAAACACAAACAGACAGACAATTCTAAAAAAGGTAACTAGAAACTGTGCAAAATTTGAGGTCTGTAGCTTGAAAATTGACGGAGATACGTGCATTTGAATCTCAAATTTGGTAGTTTTAGAGAACTTTTTGTGTAGATTACAAATCTGCAATCAGATTACAGGTGAGTGGTAGGGTTCGCATGGTACTTGGCCATGAAAACCGAAAAAAATTGGGGTAATTGTATATTTTCTGGATTTTGTAGTGCTCCAGGAGCTACAAAGTAATAGATATGGACCCAAATTTTGGCCTATCCAGAGATTGTCGGTAGTACTACATAAGAAACATATGAAAACGCACCAGTCTTCAGTCTAGATTCCCAGACAATTGGCCTCGAATATGGTTTCAGACACCAATTTTCGAAAATTGTCTCGTATTTTCGAGCCGATAGAACCGGTAGAGATGAGCACCTAAAATTCTGAAATTTAGTGTGATTATAGTTTGTACAAAAGTCTCCTACATATGTTAAAGCCATTCTTGTCCCATGCCATCTCAATATTTTTTTATTTTTTCAAAATCTGTGTTTTGGGTCATTCCATGTCAATTATCACCCAATGAGTTAAACCGTACCTCCTTTGATTTTGCTGAAATTCGGATTATAAGCTGATATTGCAAACTTTAGCTTGATCCGACTAATGGTTTCTGAAATACGGTCCACCCAAATTTAGCAATTTCGACCAAAATGGGCATGGCCGCCATTATTCAAAAGACTTTAACCCAGTAACCCATAGGTCAAAATTGCTGGAATAAGTATTTCTGGAATAAAGGGGCATAACTCTTATTATTTAAGCAGACGGATTCATACCACAATTAAAAATCCTGTGTCAACAAAGTATACAAATCCTGTACGTAATAAAAATAGGTGAACCTCGCTATTTTTCATATTTAATTCCCCGTACAGCATTCAAATTTATGACAGTAACTCATTTTCGTAATACATTAAATGAAATGCATGTTTATAACCCAAAGATCTTGGTTCCTGTCGATTTTCAGGCATATCAGATTGTAACTTCCTGAATTATGGCCCCTGATTGTATGAAAAATCATGTTTTTAGCTTGTGATCCCTCTAGAGGCCACAATTATTATCTGATTTAAAAAATTTATATCACTGTTAAACCGTAATGTTTATTGACTTCGAATTTTGTGAAAATCAGGCCAAAACTGCCGGACAAAATGGCTGCCTCTCGTACGCAAATAGTGTATAGCATCTGGTATATCAAGCTTTGATCCGATTTTGATGAGAGTTGAAATACATGTTTATAACCCAATATTTTTGTAATACATGTACGATAGAATGAAAGCTTGCCGATCCGTACCTACTTGTAAAAAGGCATAGCTTCCTTCAGCGTATGGCGTACGTGACTCATTGCTTCATCATAGGCACTGCCTTGTAAGTGATTTTCGTTCGGCAATCGGGATCGCGGAAAAGTGTCACTGTTGATGAGAATTTCTTTATGGAATCTTAAAAGACTTAAAAGATATCGCAGACAAAATGACTCTCCATTGATTTGGGGTGTTATATACTCTTACGATATACGACATCTAAGACTAGTTAATACATGCTGACGGTTGGTACATGCTGTGATTAAAATTTCTGCCAAGTCAATGTAGAAACCACAAGGAAAACACGTAGATTAAAATTATAATCATTCTTATTGGATTGATGTCTGACAAAGAGGAAGCAATGACTTCTGTTTAAGATTAGATTGATGAATTGTCCGATAAAAGATTAAGTCAGTCAATCATGGCAGATTAAGCAGTTAATCGAGGTAGGTGTATAGACGGTATAACACGATAAATACGTTGATCTTTTAATTACCTAATCAATCCAGCCTATTATTAACAATAATCTGGTAGGTGATAAATACATTGATCGCTTAATTACCTAATCAATCCAGCCTATTATTAACGATAGCGTCGGACATGTCCAGAATATACAGGCAAAATTCGATCACTGCCCTAGAGGGATCACAAGCTAAAAATGTGAATTTTCGTACAATCAGGGTCTATAACTCAGGAAGTTATAATCCGATACGCGCGAATATCAAAAGGAACCAATATCTTTGGGTTATAAACATGTATTTCAAGTTTCAACAAAATCGGATCAAAATTGTAGCCTCTAGAGGGTCCACAACCTTGATATACCATATATTTACATTATTTGAGTACGAGGGACAGCCATTTTGTCCGGCAGTTTTGTTCTATTTTCACGAAATTCAAACTCAACCGTCATTAGGGTGTAAAGGTGTTATATTCAAACGTTTTTTTAAATCGGATAATAATTGTTACCTCTAGAGGGACCAAAAATTCAGGAAGTTACGATCCGGTATGCGCAAATATCGAAAGGAACCAAGATCATTGGGTTATAAACATGCATTTCAAGTTTCACACAAGCTAAAAACGCGATTTTTTGTACAATCAGGGGCCATAATCCATGAAGTTTCGATCCGATATATGCCAATATCGAAAAGAACCGAGATCTTTTGGAGATAAACCTATAAGTTTTTAGATGCTATAAATGATGGTTTTGTGAAACCCATGACTTTGTTTTAAACCGCATGAAAATGTAGGCTTATAAAAATGTTGTAATTTCACTTACCTTTAAACAATTGCCTTAAAAAGGGGGAGAGAGAAAGAAATGGGGTTTAACGTCCACTCGACACAAACTAGGTCATTTCGGGACTAACATATGGTTTAATTTTATTTACATAATTCGCTTGCGTGTAGGGGTCTTTAGCAGTGGGAGGAAACCGGAGGACCCAGAGAAAACCCACGAGGTTGGACAAGCGACCCTACTCCTTGCCACGTACAACCCCGGATTCGAAACCACGCCAGTCGACTCAATGACAGACTTTATGATACAGCGCGCACGCTTACCATTCAGCCATCCAACCCCCCGCCTTAAAAAGGAGTCTTACAGTTATATCTTTGATTCAATACATTTTTACATAGCAGAAAAGTGCCAATAACAATTTCATGTCAAATAATAAAACAGAAACTTAAGTATATATTTAATGTTGCACTGAACACTGCTTATCCCTCTCTACTTACGTGACAGATTTATAGACTGTAATGCATTCATGTTCACATGTTTAACAATAATATATTATTTTTGTGGATTTATATTTTACTGCACATGCTTTATCTACATTAGTCCAGTTGGTGCAGGTAATTAGGACGTTAAAGTCCATTTCAATTCACAAAACTGTGAGAGGTAAATTCACAGTTGAATGGCAGTGTTTTATTTTTTCATATCAAACATGAGCGCACAGATGTAGACAACAGAAGGGGGTGTAAGCATTTCAGTTTTCATTTTTAAACACCGCAGTTTGAATTGCCGGACCTATTTTCCTGTCCACAAAATATAATGTTAAATTTCTGTAATACCTGTAGATGATAGTAATGGAGTAGACAGACATATAACAGATGTTAATGTTACTAAAGTTTGCGCTGGTTTGATAACACAATCTACCGGTATATTGATGTAATCAGCTATCCATGGATTCTTCTTATCCCATGCCTACAAAAATAATAATTGTAATTTTAGTAAAAAGTTGCTTTATGCCTTGTTGGAAATATTACCAAGGTGTATATATCCACCCTACAAATTATAATTATGTTTTATTTATAAAGACAGGTTAACAGGCAACAAAACATGCCCAGAGCAGCTAAGTCATCTGATCAGTTCATAAGTTTCTAGAAGAATTTACTGGTTACCAAAAATAGGGCAACCATTGCAACTTAGTGATGTCATCAACTTGACATCATCATTATTTAAATTTGTTTCCTGTTTCTGTGGAACTGTTCTTTTGAAAAGTTTAAAATTTATTTGACGAAACTAATCAGTATATGTGGACTGTGGACATGTATGGTGGTTTTAAATTTCTGATTCTACACCTTGTTCCTGCTGTTCATGTATCCAGTTACCTAGTAATTGTGATCCCATAAGAAATTAGTTTGAGGATGCCTATTATAGGTTTCATCCTCAATTTGAAATGAATAATCTTGCCTATATGAAAGAAATCAGTTACAAATTGCAGCCTGTAGAGTGTTTATAGACATTTTCCAAAAATCAGCAGGTAATATCCTCTCTTTAAAAGAAATGATTGTGCCAAATTTGAAAAGCAGAGGTTGCCAGGCAAGATACGCCTACATTTTGCAAGAGATGGATAGAGAACAAGCTAAAAAAACAAAAAGCGATTTTTCGTACAATCAGGGTACATAATCCAGGAAGTTATGGTCTGAAAAGTGCAAATATCGAAAGGGACTGAGATCTTTGGGATATAAAGATATATTTTGAGTTTCATCAAAATTGAATAACAATTGTGTCCTCTAGAGGGTCCACAACCTTTGTTTAATATACTTTTACACAATTTGCGTACAAGGAGCCTCCATTTTTGTTACGATTTCTTGAAATTCGAACATAACCTTCATTATGGTGAAACAGTGATATATTTAAATGTTTTTAAATCTGATAAAAATTGTGACCTCTAGAGGATCCACAAGCTAAAAAAACATGATTTTTCGTAGAACCAGGGGCCATAGGTAGTTACCAACCGATACATGCCAATATCGAAAGGAACCAAGATCTTAGGGTGATAAACCTATATTTCAAGTTTCGTGAAAATAAGATAAAATTTGTGACTTCTAGCTAGTCCCCAACCTTAGTATTACATACTTTTACACTATTTGTGTACAAGGAGCGGCCATTACGTTCGGCAGTTTCGGTCAGATTTTCAAGATATTCAAACTCAACCGACAAGATGGTGTAACCGTGATATATTCGAACTTTTTTTTTAAATTGGATAAAAATTGTAAATTTTCGAAAATCAGGGTCTATAAGCCAGAAAGTTACGTTCGGATATGCGCAATTATCGAAAGAAACCAAGATCTTTGTGATATAAACATAAATTTAATGTTTCCTCAAAATCAGATCAAAATTGTGGCCTCTATAGAGGGTCCATAACCTTGATATACCATATTTTTACACTTTTGGCGCACGGGGAGCAGTCATTTTCTCCATCAGTTTTGGTCCGATTTTCACGAAATTCGAACTCAACCATCATTAGGGAGTAACAGTGATATATTCAAACTTTTTTTTAATTGGATAAAAATAGTGACCTATAGAGGGACCATAAGCTAAAAACGTGATTCTTTGTATAATCAAGAGCCATAATTCAGGAAGTAATGATACGATATGCGCAAATATCGCAAGAAACCAAGATCTTTGTATTATAACCATCAATTTCAAGTTTCATCAAAATCAGATCAAAATTGTGACTTATAGAGGATCAATAACCTTGATGTACAATATTTTTACACTATTCATTTTGTCCAACAGTTTTGGTCCATGTTTTTAATGAAATTCGAACTCTACCAACTCAATCTAGTGTCCACAGCCTTGATATTACATGCTCTAACATGATTTGACTGAGATCTTTGGCATATAAAGATATATTTTAAGTTTCATCATAATCGGACAAAAATTGGCTCAGGCAGTTTCGGTTCGATTTTCACGAAATTCAAACTCAACCGGCATTAGGTTGTAACGGTGAAACATTTAAACATTTATTAAAATTGAGACCTCTAGAAAGTCTATAATGTAAAGATAGGTTGCCAGGAAACGAAACATATGCCCACAGCAGCTAAATCGTCCGAGCGGTCAACAAGAGTTGTTGCATATTTATTCCTTTGTAGGTAATTGTGGGCCTTTACAAGACAGTTCCATACAGATCATATTATAATTATTGTCATTTGAGGATTCACAAGGTTCTACAAACTGAAACAAGGGCCTCAACTCTGGAAGTAGTCTACAGAAATTGTTGAAATTTGACGGGCTTTTTTGTTTAACTAATTTAAATAATGCATATAAATTTCATACAGATCAAATTGATCACTTTTGTCATTCAAACGTTAACAAGGTTCACAAAGTAAAACAAGGGCCATAACTCTAGAAATTATTGACGGAAATTGATGAAATTCAATATGCCCCTGTTTCACAAATTTAAATGATGCATATGAATTTCATACATATCAGATGATAACTTTCATTAATCGAGCATTAACAAGGTTGAACAAAGTGAAACCAGGGCCATAACTCTAGAAGTAATTATTGTAAATTGCTGAAATTCAATAGACTACGTGGTTTCACTAATTTAAATAATGTATATAAATTTCACAAAGATCGGATGATAACTTTTGGCATTAGAGCGTTCACAAGGTTCAATAAAGTGAAACGAGCCATAATTCGCGACATAATAAACGGAAATTGATCAAATTTAATAGGATTGTTCTTTTTACTAACTGTTCACATACAAACATTAAAGTTTTCACATAATTTGCGTTGAAATTGCCCAACGAATCTTTAAAGATAAATTAAACATCCAGGAAGATATTATTGTCAATGCTGCACATCGAGTTGGAGTTGTTAAGCTGGCTAATAATGATAGAGAGGTGAAACTTAGATCGCGAGGGAATCATTGTTAAAATTCTTAGACGAGATCACAAACAGAAAATTATGTTTAACAGGAAAAAATTAAAGCATTCAGTTATCTCAATATCTGATGACATGACCTTTAGAAATGTTCAATTACTAACCAAAATGAATGCTCATTCTAGTGTTAAGAATGCGTGGTTTGCAAATGGGAAGATTTTTATTGAGGGACTTCAAGGTAACTTGTGCATGCTACAACCAGATGTTGATATTGATGAACAACTTTTAAAAGCTACAAAACGTGACAGAGCTCGCTAAATCTGATAATTAGCCAAATATCCCGACAAGGTCAACGCGAACTCAAGCAGAGTATTATCTTGTAAAAACTCGAACCTGAAATTTACTCACTCGGTGTCAATTATATGAATCTTTGATTTGAGTGTACAACGCATTTACTCATACGTCCTAAGTTTACCTCGATTTTGTTAACAGATTTTGTTATCTAAAAATTAACCATGTGATATTGAGTCTGACTGACATGTCGTCACTCTATTAGTATTTGTAACACATAACATGTTTGTAATCATCTGTGGAAAATAGCTACATCAACTTATCCCGAGAACACAACTCATAGTGTGACGTCACACTACATGTCCCTCATCTTACAATAATATTAATTACAAATTAACTGTTCAGAGCAATTCGCTTATCAAAAATAGTTACGACCTACTCCAATAGTAATATTTGCATGGAAAATGCTATTTCGAACCAAATTTTATCCGACTTCACGACATTCAAGCACGATCGCTTCAGTGATTCATTTAAGTTTTAAATGCCCAGAAAACTATTTTATTTATAAATTCAAAGGGTCAGTCTGTTGTCATCCACCAAATCGGACAGAAGCAATCAAACAACCGGTATTTGAACAAACGCAGAGTTAATGCCATCCCAATAAATGCATATAGTATATGAAAGAAATACTCATTCGCTTGTAAGCTATTTACAATGCTGTCCTGAAATGTAAGAAAACGGACTGTATCTACAACATTACACGAAATTATTTGTTCCATTACAATACCCAGGAAAAGGGTGCCTAGAGCGAATTGTCCCAGTTATATTATCTTTATGACTTTATATATTTCTTACTTTAATTCACTTCAGCACATTTTCTTTCAGCATATTCTATTTGTTATATCATTGACCCAAATCACAACATTCAGTGAAACACATTGGTATAAGTTTACTGTTAGTTGTCCTAGCAAATGATATTTCTCCTAATCCAGGCCCCCAATTCATCACGAAAACAAGCAGATTTCCACAACCTTACTATCTTCCATCTAAATACTCGCAGTATCAGAAATAAACTAACCGAAATACAAAACCTGACTAATGAATTCCACATTCTCACCTTTTCTGAAACTCATCTTGACGAATCCATTAGTAATGGGACCATTTCTTGGTCTGGATTTTACCCACCAATTCGTAGGGACAGGAACTGCTTTGGAGGTGGAGTACTCGTTTATGTATCTGAACTACTGATATATAAACGACGACATGATCTCGAAGTAGGTAATATAGAATGTATCTGGGTTGAAATCAATCCCCAAACAGGTGCTCTACTTATTTCATGTGTGTACAGGCCACCTAATTCATCACAGGATTTCTGGCACCAACTTGATATCTCTATAGACGCTGCATATAAAACCACAAATAAAATTGTACTTCTTGGTGATTTTAATGTTGATATACTACGAAACCGCTCAGGTACCCTTCATGATTTGCTTTTAACAAACAGTCTAACAAATGTTATCCAGGAGCCCACTAGAATCACACCTTCTTGTTCGTCTCTATTAGATCTTATTCTAGTCTCGAGGGATATCAGTGTTGTTTTTACCGAAACTTTTGATGTTGACTCATATATCTCAGATCATATAGGAACAGGTTGTAAAATAGATATTAAAATCCAACAACACCAAGTCTTCAAGAGAGAAATATTTTCTTACAAGCATGGTAATTTTAATGAGCTCAATAGACTTATACAAATGAAATGAAATGAAATGGGGTTTAACGTCCTGCTGATCTGCTCC